TTTTGCTGCCCCTTTCAAAGGGAGCAATATTATTTTTAATGAGCCACTGTCTGTCACTCACAAGCACAAGACATTGACTGATGTCACTGTTCCAGGCCACAATCTGAGAAACATCAACACTAATAAAGTGAAATTAATGTTGATCTTTCTTGGCGGGAAATAACACTACTGCTGATGCAATCAATTTCAGTCAGTATGTGCCGGACTATTTTCTGCAACATTTAATTTGGAAATGAAAATATACTAATCTTTGGAAACAGGTTAGAAATATGAAAGAAAAACTTGATGACAGCACATCATTTAACTAATTTTAACACACTAGCAATAATGACTGAATTTCTCTTTTTGTTATGACTGGCAAGTAAGATGGGAAAATCTTCAGCAGGCAATGGATTAATGCTATGAGCCATAAAGCAGAGACTAAAACTGAGGTAATCTGTCTGCTTACTCACTTCTACATTTCTGTCCATTTTGATCCAGTTAAGACAGCGAGGGGAGTAACTGAGGGCTTTGGGTTCATCTCTAAAACTCTGAAAAGGGGTCATCTTCTTTACTGACCTCAGCCGGATTTGTTTCCCGAAAAGGAAATGATTGCAACCTCCACTGCACTTGGGTCATGAGCTAGACTTGAGCAGCCAAACTACAAAGAGCTTAATCTATTTATAAGAAAACACTGCTACAGTACAGTGAACAGAGGGAAAAGGAACCCTACAAGACAGAAAGACAGTCGGACGCCAAGGTTACGCACCAACTGTCAAGATCAACAAGGAGCCCTGCCATTCCCCTGCTTTATGACTTAAATCCATTTTCCCTGCCTGTCTCCGAAAACATTAAACTATCCCCTTACTTTTTACATTGTCGATTTTGACATTTAATACAAGTAAGAAACGCAGCACCTACACAAAGCTGTCTCGCGCAATAAGCCAAGTAATTTAAGTACAGGTCTAGAAGAAAAACATTCCAGCAATTTTTATTTTTCAAATGTAGAAAACATTAAGTGATTGAGACTCAATGTCTCATATTAAGAAAAACAGAATTATAATAACAAAGATATAAAACTTTAGAATACACAAGTTACATTCCTCGCATACTGGATTAACAACCAAAGAGAGGTGGTCTGAGGGCTGGGTCTTTAGGATGGCACAGCACAACACCGTCATAAACATACTTGAATTATATCACGTTTTTATTGTTATAAATACAACTGCTATAGCAACAGTACTACCACACTGTATCTCTGTATGCCCAGCAGGAATGGGGAAATGGTAGGTTGTACATCGCCATGGTGACTCCAGAATCAATACTTATGATCAGCATTTGAGGTGTGAAACAACACATACATGCACAAACAAAAGATTGAAAGCGAAAACAAACAAGGAGGATGATCATACCGTTTGACTAACACTATGCAGTGAGTGGTGCATTGTTTGTTGCCTGCCCAACAGACTCTCAAAACATGACTGTAGGTATTATTACATCATTTTCCAGGTGTGCTTGAAGCATCTTGAGCTCCAATTCTACATATATTTTTGAGACACAGAAATAAAAACTAAGCTAGTCTCTCTCCTTTCCCCTTTGCTTCTAAGAACTCTCAATCTTAGGGAACGTGGGGACTAAACCGCCAATTCTTCTTGAAGTATTTCTGCAGTTTGAGAATCTACATGTGCATGTTATGATATATACCTATTCCCCACCCTCACAAACACTAAGAAACCAAGATATCCCCCATAACTCAGCATGAGAGGATACAGACGAGACACAGAAAGATGGAACAAATGGGACAGAGGTTATAAAATACAGGACTGTTAAAAAGAGGCAATGGAGAACGGGGTGAGCGATGACAGATGGAGGGGCAGCAAAGGTCCCACAAAGGAAAGAAACACAGGTAGGTAAAGAAAAGCTGTTGAAGGTCAGAGCCCTGTAGGCCCTGTGAATCATTGCCTGGTGTCAGCGGGCCTTATGAACCTGAAGCTCGGCCGTAAATTGTGGAGAGATCCAGGAGAGACCCTCATTGTGAAGAGCTCGGACTGGCCCATGAGGAGATTCTATTTCTACACTTTATCAAAGGTCTGCATGAACACGGGGACCTGTTACACTTGCATCATGAATCCTTCATAACAAACAATAGGCAGTATAAATATCTATTATCAATATTGTAATACCATGATTTCCTTTAAAAAAAAAAAAAATCCTGTGTGTGGAGTTTTAAAAATGTGTACAGTTTAGATTTCAACACATGGAGCCGATTACAGCACCCACAGCTGGCATAGATATCTTTGGCCATTACAGAAATAAAGAGTTGAGTTCCCATCAAATGTATATTTAAGAGTCATGTGGGGTCGAAATACGGGAGAAGTGACAAGCTATTGCTTCCAGGGCCAAAATCATTTGCCTTCTCGCTTACTTGCAGTGGAACTGGTGTAATTCTCAGTTACAGCTCTCCCATCAGCCATTCAGGTTCAGGTTCATATTATTGGAAACAATGACATCAAGCTGAAACGACGAGAAGAAAAGTACGCCAGTCAGAGCATTAGAGCAATGATCTATCTCTAGTTCAATACGGTAATAGGAGAGCGGGCTAAAACAATTCCTTTCTTTCTCTTCCCCTCTCCCATCGGTGTCAACCAAACATCTGCCATTCCTTCCCAGCAGAAGGGAAGGTCGTTTGTTTCCAAACCGAGATCACTCATCTATACAACCTCCGGACTTGTTTTGGTACGACTGCTCAGACAGGATATTACAGGATAGTACAACGCCTTATTTTCCCAACTGGAAGACGGTCATCAGGGTGGAAACGGACAATAACTGCCTGTACTGTAGGTGTGTGAGACAGCTCCAAATACACCACATAAATTAAGAATACTGAAACCTATTCATTTTAACTTGGTGTTAGACTGTAACAATCCCTCTGTTGAGATGTACGCTTTATCAAATTGTTTCTTTCTAACTGTACAATTCACAGTTGCCGCAGGCTACATACGTAGCCATGCATTTATACTTGTGTGTAGGTGTGTCCGTCATTCTGCAATTACACCCCCAAACACTAGTCTACAGCGTCCACTGTGTTGACTTTTGCCGGCCAAGCAGGCTAACATAAATGGGGGTAAAATTGTATACATGTGGCTGGTGTAGCCTTTTCAAATGCCCCCCCCCCCCCCCCCCCCATTTATTTATTTATTTATTTATTTATTTTGCATAATACAAAACCAACAATTGTTGTATAAAAAATCCAGTTTGCTGTCCTCCATTATAAGTCCTCCCAAAATAATTCATTAGAGTCAATGTTAAATCTTTGTCGTAAAAATTCTTTGCAGGGATATATGTCATTCATTATTTTAAAATGTACTTCTTTAGCTTTAGGTGGTATAGGGAAACTGAGGTATTCACATCTAATTCTCTTAGGAGGTCACAGAGGTGTATTTCTGCAATATATATTTTCTTTTAAGAGGCGATGGAAAACATTTCTTGGTTAGAGATGATCTTAAAAACTTGTTATTACATTTCTCATCCAAAAAAGAGCATGTTTCAATAGACAATGTGGGAAGGTTAAGTACCATCGGTGTGTATACTAAGGCCCCTCTAACCATTTGAATAAGAGCTTTTGGAATTGCTCCGATCACAGCCCAGTATTCTCTACTAGTACATATTACTCTGTATTTATTTAAATCATTTAACTCATCATAGTCCAGTAGGTTACCTCTGTGATCCATTAGATGTTGAATAGACCATATTCCCTGTTCCATCCAGTTTTTAAAAAAGAAAGACTTTATTATTCTTTATCAGAATACATCGATCGTTCCAGCCTTTTCAAATGTTACCAACCGAATAGATCACATTCTGATAGCGAAACGAGTCATTTCGCTCAGGTTGCGAGAGTCAAATATATTGATTCACTGTGTTACAGCCGCCGTTTTGGCCACTAGTAAGCACGGGGTACTTCCGGTTGGCTCGGAGGCATTGCGAGGCTACCCAGCCGACCAATCACAGAGCTTACGGTCCGCGTCGACATTTTTGAGGAGGTGCACGTCAGGCGACGGCATAGCCTCTGCGTAGCCCCGTAGCCTACGCCGTCGATTTGACGCAGAAGTATAAATTGCACTTAAGTTCGTTAGCCTTGGGGAGAGATATATCAAGTCTACCAACGTCACTAAGTGTCTGTGACAAAGACACCAGTGCCTTATCCACAGTGTCACTCACCCTCACAACTCCTTTATTATTGCCGCGGGCTGAATTATCCACTTTCGTCTTTTATCGACCGGCAGTTTCTCAACTTTAAACTTTGCTTGTCAGAAGAGGAGCTGACAGGCTAATGCATGTTCTGGGCTCATTGTCAGTGTAAACATTAGAGATCTAACGATTAAATAAAAAAAAATGATAGGAATACATGTGTACGTCCACTTTGTAAGGTAACACTCTTGGGCCTTGGCCTATTAACTGCTGTAGTCTTCTGACCGAGATGCATTAAAGGATCTAATTGTTCACTGGTTGACAGATGATCGTCCCAAAGTCTTGTGTCTCAAGTACCGCCTGTCTTGAGCTTAAAAACAGTCTGGAGCAACGCACTCCCTTCTGTATGACACGTTCTACCTGCGATGGAAGCTGTTTATGCACTGATGAGAGGCATTTAGCCAGAAATAACTCAAAAGCGCCATTATCTCGGAGCAGATCTGATTCCACAACACAAAACACTTACAGTTTTTTCGTATTTAAGTAGCATGAACAGAGAGATCACTTTGCTCTGCGGGATGTATGACAAAAAGTACACATGGTCGTGACCTGAATGTGAGGTCAAGTGCTCAAACAATGGTAGTTTGAGGGCTTGTGTGCTTGTTACTATGTCAGTGCTGTGGTGGTGTGAGGGAGTATCACTGTCCAGCAAGTTACATGAGGCAAGTCGTTCCATTGCAGAACAAGTATGTCTGATTGCTTTCACATGTGTAATGTGTCTGGAATGTTTTTTTGACGAATATGTACAGACGCACATGCAAATTAAACCTTACCATTTTGTTCATCCAGCTCATTGCCAATCTCCTGGCCCATTATCTTCTGTCGGCCGATGACAGCTGCTAGAGCATCCAAGCCAGCGTCCTGGGCTGTGAAGAAAGAGGAAAGAAAATATATGACTAGAACAAGAGAAAAAGAAAGAGGCAAACAGTTAGAGCAGAGAGAGGGTTATACAATGACAGACAGCAACATGGACAGAAAGAAAAATAGATTAAATTGTAAAAATAAAATAGATGTGACATATGAGTACACAATAATCTATGTCAAATTTAGCAGTGGGATAGGCTGAGCAATAAATAGTTCTCCAATGAAAAAGCTGCTTGAAAGAGCAGTTACAGTATACTGTATTTTGTGATATAATGAGGCAACTATTTGGGAACTAGGACTGACAGGCTGTTGGGGTCCAGCTCAGCTCACACTGCCACATGTGAGTCATTCAGTACTTTACCCCACTCAGCCTTACTCCTGTTATTATAACTGGGGCAGGCCAAGGTGGAGAGGAGAAACAGTGAAGCTAAAAAAGAAGAGTAGAAAAGAGAAAAAAAAAAAAAAAAAAAAGACTTTCCCTCTGTTGGTTTCCAAGTTTGACACACTCTGTACCACTGGAATTTTTTTTATGACCACAGGTTCAGACACTCACCATTACCCAACTCCACCAGAAATCCCACATGGGACTAGAAACCTCTGTGTGGTTTGGTTTCACTGTCTTAACAGGAATCTCTGATCCCAAATTGACAACAACCAGAGCCGTAATGGAGACATGGCAATGAAGTGTCACATGGAGTCAGGTGAACTAACGTCTGGGTGTTCAAGTCATGCCAGAGCCATTCAGGAAACAGAAAAAAAGCAAGTGTGGGCTTACAATATGTTTTCTAGATGAGAATTATAATGATCACCTTTTATGTGTTAGTATACATCAGCATGGCCAATACTAGTTCAATACAAATCATGATGTGTGTAGAATACTTACCACAGTTTATGATGGGACTACCATACTGTATTTGTAGGAGAGGTACGTATAAGGAAAAATATGAGTCACAAATATTATCCAAGTGATGCAGGATATTACTAATGCTATGCGTGGTTGCTATACCCATATTTAATCTTGCCAATTTGATACTACAAAGACAATGGACAAGGAGCCAGCACCTTGGCTCCGCCATCATCGGTGTGTATGTGTGAATAAGAGGCAAGTTGTAAAGAGCTTTGTCTTTTAAGGTAGAAAAGCAGGTAGAAAGTGCAGTCCATTTACCATTTATTCAGTCATGTGTAATTACCTTCAATGATTCGTTGTTGCTGCTGTTTGATCTCTCCGAAAGATAGCCCTTTGGTCTCCTCAGGCTCGTTGATCAGCCAAGGGTTGGCCACAACACCTCGACTCGCTCCTGCCCCTTCAGCCATCAGTGTCGACCTGCGAAACATTATCAGAACAATACTTAATTTCCAAAATGCTTCACAGCAGCTCTTCAATTATTTCTTTAAAATAAAAAGATAATCTTTTAAAATTTTTTAGAGACCTTGAAATTGAAAGCAGATGACAAAAGTGCCCTTTTTGTCAGTCATCGTGCATCAGTGACTTTTAGCTTTATACGTAAACTTAGTTTGTCTGGTTGGGGTAGGAGCACGATGCATATCTGTACAACTCTCACAGCAAACACATCTGTACATGGCATGTTGCCTTTTGGATACTGTTCTCTTTTGAACACTTTGTAACAAAAAAACCTTTACATCACACAGGGGGGGGGGGGGGGAAGGTATTTATTTACTAATTTTGTCTTTTATGTTTTTTAAATGAAAAACACCAGGTTAGCTTGCGCAGTGTGTAAACAGTGCATTTAATCTGTCACAGGACTGTGGACTGCTGGGGAGGTTTGGCTCTGACAAAGTGACAGGCCAGAGAGCTCTGTGCTGTACTGTGCTGTGCTAAACAACCGTTGTGTGGTTTAAAAACTATTCTTCTGCTAATAGCTTAAAGCTGTGTTTCAGACCCCCCCGTGGCCGTCTTACGGTGACGGGTTCAGAATCTCTGTGTGAGGCTAGATTTATCCATGTCTGCTGTGAGCAAGTTGTCTGCTGGTCAAGCCCAGGAAAAGTGACCTGAGCCACATGTAAGTTTATCAGTGACTAAGGAAATAATAAAACTACTATACTAAACTGGTTTTTCTGTGGTTTTAATGTCCAGCTAACATAATTCTGTTTTTCATTGGTACCAATCTTTCAAATTCAAAAGTGAATGCTTTTTTTTGGTTAATCTCTTTTTGCATGACCAATGCTTGAAACTACTTTTGTCTCACCCAAACACATGCTTCTCAGTGTGAAGACTAATTCAAGTTAGTTTTTGAAGTGGTAAGTAAAGCATTGTGAGCCCACAATGCGGGCTAGCTGAGGCTGATACCATCAGAGGAGTAGGTGAGACAAGGCCTTCGGCCTAATCGGTCTGACATGTTTGATTACTATGAGACTGTGTGCCAGCCCTACTCTTCCTCCATGCAAGTGCCCAGTGTGTGAAGATCCAATTAACCAGTCAGTGGGGAGCGCCAAATCAGTCAGGCACATCCCTTGCACTAGACTGCCGCCATTGGGGCCTGAACACACAGGTCTGACTGATTGAATGACTTGGACAGGCGAGATTTAACTAATTACAACTATTTCCAGTGCAATCAAATACAAAGGAAAGGTTAGTGAATAATGGAGTAAAGGTGGTCTGAGGGGTGATGGGGTGAACTGAGCCTTTAAATGTAGGCGCCACGTTCTTCTTTTGCTTAGTCTGAAATGGAGATGCTCGGACTGCAGTGTTTCAGGGATAGATTAAAGTCCCCTCTGTAACCTCTATCCATTTTCTCCTACCCAAAGTTCTCACAAAAAAAAAGAAAAGAAAAAGATCGGCTTAGATTATCCAAGCATGGCCAATCCACCCCCCACCCACACATTCTGTCCTTACAGACCACACAGTGGGAATGGGCTCGACCCACAAATCCAAATTACCCACCACATATCACTATTAAAGTTAGGTCTCACTGAGAAAACTAAAAATCATACAACCACATGATTACAGTTTGCCACGCTAACTTATCAGCAAATGTCATTTAAGATTTTTTTTTTTTAATAGAGTCTTTTATGTAATTGGGTGTGTGGTCTGTAAAAGGATGAAAGCCTGTGCAAAGCACCACTAAGCAGATCAATCCCAAAACCAAAGCTTGTGAAAGCTATCAGAGAAAGGCATACCATATCAAGGCATCAATAAAAGTGGTTCTCTACGGATCTGATGAAACAGCGATACTTGGTTTCATTCTACTGTCATTTCAGATATTGATCAAAAAACAACTATGGCCGTAAAGTAAACATTATACTATACAGGAACTGCAGTTTTTCTATGAATGCTGAGCATCAACAATGTAAAAACAACATGGAGGTGCCATCTCGCAAATACAGATTTATAACAGACATGAGAAACCAGAGGAAGTTAACAACATGACACTTGTTTCCTCTTCCTGTCTAAACAAACATCACCTCTGACTAGGCCAAATATTACACAAAGTAATGGCTGCCTGCTTCCTACGGTAACATTGACATGACATTAGATGATGAAGAGGATATAAGTTGTGGCATCCAGCTCTTTGATAAGCTCCACAAGTGATAGAATAAATGCTCAGTGGAGAGTTATGATGAACTGTAAACACACTACTTCCATCCCTGTTCATCAAGGAACACACGCACACATTCATATGAATCTGTCTGTGTGTGTGTGTGTGTGTGTGTGTGTGTGTGTGTGTGTGTGTGTGTGTGTCCATTTCACGAGGCGCCAAATGTGTGATCAACAGTGCAAAGCGAGCAGATCTCCTAATGAAAAAGAATTAGCTACGAAGTTAAGCGTCCTGTCAAAGTGGCAGACAGACAGACTTCCTACGGATTGCTAGCACAGGAGAGGTCACGGCACATGGGTCATACCGGATGTACAAAGACTTTCACAGAAAGTTAGTGACCGGTGACATATCATCAAAGCAGAGAACAGATCCAGTGACCTTTGTGGTCAAGGACATAGACAAGAGAATGAGGATTCATTATTTTTAATTGGGCAACATGTACTAGATATTAAAAAAAAGGATCTCAGTGAGGAAAAGTACGAAATTAAAGGTGGCATGTTCTGAGCAGGATGCCCCCCTGAAGCATCATGGGGTGATGTTTGGTTTGGCTGTTTTGACAATTATTGACAGTGACAGACAGAGACTCAGGGTTCGAGAAATATTCCACAATTTTCCTGAACTACTTAATCAACAAGCTGGCTGTCCCAGATTTTTTTTTTTTAATGAAAGAGCTCTGAGAAAACAACCAGCCAAGACTAGTTGAGAATAGAGTAACTGAGGCAGCAGCGTGGCTTAGTAGTTTAAGAAATCATCCTTCATACATATGAGGAAGGTTCATGCTCAGCGGTGATGGGCATTTGCTGGTGGTTTCTGTGGTTAAGTCATCACATCCCTAGGGATTGTACATTTCATGGGGTACAAATGAACTACTGATTCATTGAAGTGAAGTAGCACATTGATCATAAATATGTTACAATTCCCCCAAAGCTTTTAAATTAATTGTCAAAAAGTAGTCATTGTGGGATTCCACTCATATCAGAAGAGAATGCTTGATAAGATTTGCAAATACTGACTTTCTTACCTCTTTCTCTCATTTGGGGTTAAATAATTTGCCTAGATTTTAATACCTGGAAGGTTCAGCTTCAGTGATGTCTCCCTTGAAGGTGGCATTGAGCTGCTTCTCTCTGGTTAGCAGGTCATCAATAAGGTTCTGCCTCCTATCAGCTTCTGGCTGCATTCTGATGAAGCCAAGTTAAGGTCATGAAAAGGTCAACATAACTTTAACCACCTTCAGTGATAGTGGACAGAGGATGCTCCTGACACTTATCATTGGACCGTTTGTAATTAACCCATGAGCATAGAAACCTTTCTAACAATAATGACATAAACAGAAGGGCAGTTCTTTTCAAAACACTCTAACGCCCTCTATAGGAAGACAACTGCTACCACAAATAACCCAAACCGTCCAGTCCAAAATGTAATCTCCATCTCATGACTTCCACTGCCTAGAGCACTCTCTGAAGAAAGGATACATACGCCGAGTCGACGATGCTCGCAACAAACCCTCTTTAAGCTGGGTAATACTCTGTTTGAGCTTCTGCAGTGATGCCCGTAGTGTCATGTTGATCTGAAAAGACAGAGGATATTAACACATCACCTATCAACTAGGGAAATCTGACTGTTTCAAGAGAAATTTTGTAAGCAATGCCACTTTGTAACACCTTACCTTTGCAGGGTTGCCCCCTGTTCTCTGCTGTCTGTTCCGTTCATGTATATTTTCTGCTATTTCCTGTGCCAAGCGACAAGTGGCATCATAATTCTGTAACCTATAGATCAATGAATGGGATAGGGAAGTCATGTAAAAAGTGACCTGTCATTACTGACTCATGACAAACAGCCGCCACAGACATATTATGGAGCAATATGGAGAGATATTGCTCAATGCATTGATCAATGTGGTAATGAGGAAACCAAATGAATGAATCACTGGTCTGTGGATTTGTACAGGATGAAGACATCTGACTTATCTGTTTTCTCAAGATGTGCAAACCACAAAATACAAGAATTGTATTTTAAGAATATTTTACAATACAATGCACTAAGTACCAATTAGTTTGGCTAGTAACTTGAGCTCATAATGTTCAGTGTTTAGACGACCAGAGGGCTTTATGTAACTCGGTCTGTTTTGATGCTGGAGTTTAATGTTAAGCAAATCTAACATCATGGTGTCTGAGATGAAAAACACCTGATAGCCTCTAAAGCTTGAGTTGCACCATTATAATGGAATACAGCGCTAAAATATTGTATTGAAGGGTTACTGTGATATCATAGATGAGTGCAGTAAAATGTCGGAGAATGAGCACAAGCTTTGACGTTACATTGATCATGTGACATTTTTAGCATTGCCTTTTTCCTCTTTCGATTGTTATGCTAACGTTTCAATGTTTCAATCTGAATAGTAGACAGAAGAATAATGACTTACTACTACTACTACTACTACTACTACTACTACTACTCAGATCCAGAACTGCCATACTACATTATTCAACACATAAAGAGAGGATTTTGTAATAGCGTATTGAAAATGCACGTTACTATATTGGATTAACGTTGATCTGTATAGGTATGAGCTAGCTACCAGTCCCACTTTAGCTAGGAGGATACAGAAAGAGTAGCTTACTTTCAGGGTACTGTCATTTATTGTAGTTACTAACACAGTTGAGTCGATTTATTGTAGCCGTCCAACACATTACTTACCACGGATCCTGAGACATCACGATAAAAGCTAGCTATGAAGACAATATCCACTGAGTTAGTAATAAATCCGGCAGTAATCACCAGCAAACTGTTTCTTGTTTGGGTGTGACGTCACTACGGCATACTGCGAGGAACAGTTGACTCGAGGGCCGCGGCACTTTTCACTATAAGTAAGGAGGAGCTTTACAACAATCTATGTAAAACATAAACAAGTCGAATAAAAATTGTTATCACGTGACAGTTTACAACAACCAATAGATAAAACCTAAACAAGTCAATATACAAATAAAGGAAAAATCAATTAGGCATCACAAGGTAAAAGCTTTTTTGTAAAAGTGTGTTAAGAAGTGAGATAGGCTAAATGCAGACTATGTGAGCCTCATCTCCTCTGGTAGATTGTTCTAGAGTGTAAGGGCCCTGACAACAAAGGCACTGTTTCCTTTGGTTTTTAGCCTAGACGTTGGAATAGTTAGCAATGCCCTACCAGAGGATCACAGTCTGCGTCGTGGCTCATAGGGGAAAAAGCTCTGAAATATGGAAAGGAGCCAGCCTATGCCTGACCTTATAAGTTATTACACGGATTTTAAAATCAGTCCTAAAATCAGAAACAGTCAGCCAGTGCAAGGATGCTAAAACCCGGTTCATATGGTCAATTTTTTTGCAAAAAAAAAAGTCGAGCTACTGCATTTTGGACTAATTGTAGATGGTTAATTGATGAGAGTGAGTAACAATAGGCAACTTGAGGCAGGATAAAAGCATGGATGAGTTTCTTCAGGTCTCATCCATGATTCCTGGCCAAGGGCTTAGCATAAATTGCTAGTTCACTTGGTTTGGAGGATTGTTCTTACTGTATGATAGTCAAACACTTACCAGTAGTATGTTTGCTTTGAGTATTTACAACCTGCATGCAGCAAAATAAAAATGTACTATAAGGAATGAAATGCAAGGATATAGGGAATAGCAGGAAACGTGGTTTAAGTAGCTAAACAGACCTAAAGTGATGTTTGTAAACAGTACATTTTTCAGATAGTCCTCACAGACGTTGTCCCAATACGGGCCTCCATATGTTTTAACTGCTTTTGACTTGACTTCACCTGTGAATTTGTATTGTTCCACAGCCTTCATGGAAACTGACACATAAAAACAACAGCATGCTTTCTCCACTCATGGGGCTAAAGAGTTTGTTTTTCAAATCCATTAGCCTACACGCTGAGCCCACATGTGAGATAAGTAGGCTACTTGCAGAGGATTTATGTTTCATAACCAAACAGTGGTGTTTGGATCAAAACATAAATCTGTTGTGTAGAATAACACGCTTTAGAAGACTTCTTGGAATAGACTCATTTGGAATTCTGATGATACGCAAAAAGCAGTTTCAGAGAAAGGCTAACATCTACATGATTACCCTCCTTGTTTCTGGTGACCTTATTCTGAAAAAAAAAGAATGTTTAGATAGGTGTCCCTGTAAATTTCATTTCAAGCCATTTTGACAATTCTGCTGTGGAAAGGGATGTAATATATAAATAACAGTTAGGTACATTGCAGTGAGCAGGGTTATTGAAAGGATACTTGGTCAAATCATGTGTTTTAAAAGAAGTGCCATTGTTATATCATGTGATCTAGAAATTTTTAATTACTTGTTTGTGATAACATACTTCTCAGAATGAGACACTGTCTGTTGACAAAGTTAAAACAGGAATATCAGCAGAACTTTTCACTTTCAATGGAAAGTCACCACAAATCACCACAAACAAACCATACCACTATAGCTTACCTCACATGGCCACTGCCCACAAGCTTATATAAAGCCCTGATCCTCAGAGCATGCTGCTCGTAGCAGGAGACGCATTACCTTCCATTCTTGTTCTTCTTTGAAGAATAAGACTTGAGATGATTCATGTTTCAAGAGCGCCAGAGTTCTCCAGTTGTGGAAACATGAATTCAGTTTCGATGCGCACACCCTCTCACAGCAGGCAAAGGTCTCACTCTTATTACATTCTGGAGGACAACAAGGACTATGGTGTGCAGACACAGATGGTGGAAGCCTATCTAAGACCTCGCTCCAGGTATGTTTTCACTTTCAACTTAAAGACCTGTGCTGTTTTTATAATCTAATAATTATTACAAAATACACGAGTAATACTGAATCAACTCCTCCTCAGGTCCTTTTATGAGATGTCAGAGCCTAAACCAGACTGTGATGTGGGAAACTCAACAAGGTGTAGTCCACTGAGTAAGAAGGAAAGCTCCCTACTTCAGGATAAAGTGAACAAAAAGGAAAAGAAAGAAGGGCATGGAGCTGGTTATAGGGGCACCCCTAAGAAGGCCAAGCCTAAACCAAACATGCACTCGCAATCAAGAGAACTTAATGGTACTTAAATTATGTTTTTATAATGGTGTTTATTATAATTTTTGAAAATCTGAGTCTATTCACACTGCTTTGGGGAGAAAAACGAAATGTATGTTTGCATATTTTGTTCAGGCAAAGGCAATCTCAAGTCTGTGTCCATGATCACCATCTCTGAATTGGACAACTGGGAAATTATCTCCAGCTCAGGCATGAAGTATGGACAGTTTGTTGACTGGGAGAAAATTGATCCTGAAGCAGCACAAAGATACCAGCAGATCCTGAAGAGTGATCAGCAGCAGCTGAAAACTATGGCCCGAGAAGGATTCTGGGCCATGCCCCACACGCTAAGAGCCAAAGCTTACTATCACATCATCCACAGCATCATTACCAGGTTAAGATTGCCACGATGAATTTCATACATTTCAAAGTTTTAAAAATGTAAAATATTTTCTGCCATGAAGACAAACATATATGTATTTGGGGGAACAGATTTACAATGTGCAGCGTGTGCATTTGAATTTTATCTGATGTGGACTGATGTATCTGCAGTGGGTCTGTCACTCCAGATAGAGATATCTACTATGAACTAGTCAAGAAGCTCTTTGGAGAGCAGAAAGTCAGCACCCATCCAGTCCCAGAGTACATGGAGGCAGAAGAAATACCAAGGTACGTTTATGGGATAATACTGGTTAATGTAACACAAACATATTGCTATAAAAAAATTTCAGTGGTTTTGATAATGTGTTCCTTTGAAATTGTTCTAATAGACCTACAATATGAACCTTAAACTAGCAAAAGAACAAACCTGAAGTGCTGTCTTTATATATAAGCATGGCAGATGATATTTATTCGGTTTACTATTATTATTATTATTTTATTTGTTTTACTTTAGTGGCCCCTTTAGTGGGATATGCTTCCTAGCCCAATTGGTGACAGTGATCAGAAATGTAAAGACTAATACTTTTACAGTGTTAAAAAAGTGTTATTACTGTGCATTCAAGCTGCACTGGATTGAATATGACCAAGTGAGTTGTTGCTTGTTCTTCCCCTATCCAGATATTGTCTCAATAAAGCAGGCCTGAACTCTGTTAAAAAGATCCTTCTTTGCCTTGGCATATACTTCCCCGACATGAACTTCTGCCCCATCCTTCCTGAACTGGTCTCCCTCATCCTCCACTTCAGCCAGGACGAAGCAGAGTGTTTCCACAGTGTATGCCGACTTATCTGCTACAAGGACCCCAACAAGCGTTACATCGACCAGACCTTCCTCACCTACCGCGCCTCCTGTATGACTTTTGGAGACCTTGCCAACAGGTGTTGCAGAGGCATCCGTAAACTGATTGCCAGCTCTCACCAAAACCTCTTTGAGTTCTACTCTGACTGGATCATGTGGATATTCGCTGACCTTCCGTTCACATACGCCATCAGAGTGCTGGATGTCTACCTATTGGAGGGCTACAAGGTCCTCTACAGGTTTGTTGCTGCTGCATTGTCACGTGTATATGAAACCCCTGATTTCTCACGACGTAACCATGAAAGTTTGCACATAGGAAAAACAAAAGAGTAAAAGTATTTTACAATCATTCTTCGCAGGGTGGCACTGGCTTTGCTCAGCCTCTACAAAGTATCTGTGTCGTCTCGAGTGGCAGACGTGGAGGACTTCCGGACAGATATGAAAAGTTTTGTGCAGAACATAGCTCGCCACTGCACAGCAGAGAAGCTTCTGGAAAGATCCTTCTTGATTCCGATGGCCACACGGAGACAACTCAACCTCCTGTTCAACGCCAATAAGGAATCCCTCATGCAAAAAGGTGTCAGCATACACCAGAAGAGGTGGGTCACTACATATTATGTTTTGTAAAGGGTTTTTCATGAGGTGTGTGAGATAAAGAAAAAAAACTGCTCACATTTATCTTATTTCAGTTTCATATTCTCATCATAGCTATTTCTATGTTCCTAAAGGCAGTCGGTTGCCACGGAGGACTTTAACAACTTCACCTCCAGCGTTGTGACAAGGACTGAGATGAGAGTGGTCTGGGCCTGGATACCTGAGCGCTTTGCCCTTTTCAGTCCCATTAGGCTGTTTAATACAGCTGAACACGGAAGGAGCCTTTCTTCGTAAGTAACCTTTGTTGTGACTTCAGTCCTTTTGAAAAAATTCATATTTGCATTATTAAACAAGGCCTGGTCACTACGGCTCAATGGCTGCTCAACACCATGTCCCAGCAGTGAAAAACATTCTCAGATCTAGTTGTATAACAGAAGCAGAAGCAGCGTGTTTTCACTATCAACATGTTGTGTGAGGGTCAAGTGACTTACAGTTCAGTGGTGGAAACTGTTGTTGATGTGGGAAAATACTGAAACTACTAATCCCTAACTGAGTGTTTAACTGTCTTTTGTTTTGTAACACGTGGTTTCAAAAAAAACAACAATGCTCCATATAGAAAGTTATTATTTCTAAAATAAAAATGAGGATGCTAAGAATTCTGATTAAAGTTTTCGTTTCTTAATTGTATATCCACCTCAAAGTAAACGAGTGATTCTAGTGTCTATTTTTCCCCTGACATCACACCTAGTGTTGTAGTCAAGACCGCCCAAACCAAGACCAAGTCAAGCCAAGACCAGAGTTTATCGAGACCAAGACTTTTAAGGGCTGAGCCCAAGTCGAGACCAAGACCGAGTCAGGACCAAGACCAGTTCCCCACATTACACGACACACAATAAAATGTGGAACGAGACGAGGGAGGGGTGACGGTCTTTAATGGTAACAACACATTTTTAATTAGGGTTATTGGTTGCATTTGAAGCAATAGGTTTTACATCCAATCAAATTCAAATACAAATTAACTTTATTGGCATGAATGTATAGCAACAATATTGCCAAAGTAAAAAGTACATAAGGACAATTAATTACAATCACTGTTAGGATGTTAACAACATAAATCAGACAATGCAAAAGCAATTTATTGATATTCCCAAAGTTATGGTTACTGGTCCTCAATGTCCGAGACCGAGACAAGACCGAGTACAAATGCGGTCCAGTCCAAGACAAGACCAAGACCATCAAAAAGTGGTCTCGAGTACTACAACACTAGTCACACCATCTTGAATTATACAAACAACAGCTCTTGAGTGAGTTTCGGCTATACACTAATTTGACACTGAAATATATTGTTGTAATTGTTAAAGTTGCAATCTTGTCTTGCAAAGATACAAATGTTCTCTTCCAATATCGTATAGTGCAGATAGGCTGTAGTATTTTCATGTACATGCTTTTAGTCATCAGTGACACTGCCTGGTTGTATATAGAGCAGTTTATGGGTTTATGGGATATTAAAAGCAACAAATGGTTGTGTTTTTTTCTCTCTCATATAGATTCTATTCACATGTGGAGGGATACGAACCAGCTGTCTTAATTATCAAAACTGTGGATGAAGAGGTAACATCAGATAAAATAATGAATATTGGGGTACATCTGATTTTGCTATATATGCTTTCCTGTTGATTTAACCTTAGAGTTAAACCTAATATGTATTATTGATAATAAGTAGTTTGTGGAATACAGTTTGTATGGTACTGAAATATTAGTTTATCTCATTTCTCAGGTATTTGGTGCCTTCCTGTCAACAGATATGATAGAAAGAAGAAAGCATGACTCTGAGGGACTTGCATATTTTGGAACTGGGGAGTGTTTTGTATTTACGGTGAGACATATTCCTGCTTTCTTCTTCTTGAATTCAACTGCTGCGACATGCATCAAGTTAGCGGATTTGTGTTAACTTATTTGAAAGTATCTTTATTTTCATTAGTTTTAACTGTTTTTGTGTCAAACAAGAAATTTGCTTACTCGCTCAGCTTCGTCCCAGCATGGAGCGCTACCAGCAGGCCATGGTCAACATTATGACCCCAGTCACCTCCACCACAACTCTGATCTGTCCTGCTGGAACCCCACAGGACCCCAGCTACCTGACAGTCCCCTTCACTGCTCCATCAGAGGAACCCATGACTGCCAAAGAGCCAATGAGACCCCAGGAACAAGAAGCCTCCATGTTCATAGCAGGCAGTGACAGGGAGCTCATTATCGGTATGTCATTTGAACATATAGTTAGAAGAATAGAATGGGTCTTAAAAATGTTTAGTCAGCGCTGATGTAAATGTCCTCTCTTAGGTGGCGATGGGGGCCACGCGCTCTGTCTACAGGAAGATCTAGTGAAAGGATACTCAGAGCCTTGTGACACATTCAAGAGCATCCCACTCTGCAAGGGACATTTCAAGATCCAGGCCCTGGAAGTGTGGGGCATCCAGAACTCTATTTCCTTTTCTCACAGTATTCCCTCTCAGTAAAATAACGGAAGACGCCCCTTTGTAACTACTGTATGTATCTTTTGGTAAACACTGAACCAGTTTTTCTTGATGCTGTCAAGTTTATTTTGATGTAAATAATTATTTTGTGAAATGTACGTGTATGCACATTGTGAAGAGCAATCGAGTGTGACTTTATTTGACTTGTTGTCTACATGTCTAGTCAACTTTATTTGTACAGACTTATATGACCTACATAGTCTTACTGGACTTTACAAGCCCACATGAACAATGGTTCCCAGGTGAGGAAAGCTCTCTTGCAGTAATGAACCAAGAATTAGCGGGAGAGTGCTATGTGCACCGAATAGGTTCATCATAATTAAAATCAATCACAGAAGGTTTATTAATCTCAATCAAAGGGTCATCTTAACTGAAAAATTACAATTCTGGTTTTACCTCCTCTGAAGTCTACTGATTTTACCTTTCCAGGAGGTATGTAATCGTACGTCTACAGGGTTTTATTATTACTATTATTATAATTATTTTGCAGTTTATCAGCATTTGTTGATACACAATTAAATTTCATCTATTTTTTGTAATGTTATTATCAGTTGTTTGTCTTCTCAATGTCTCAATTAACATTATGTTAGACTTGGGCGATGGGGTTCTGGTCCTAACTGCCAATCATCACTTACAGTAGGCTACAGTACCGACCGATTTTGCATCCAAGGTTTATGAAACTTTTGCTGCGTTCAAAGGCTATTCGGAACTAAGTTAAGGATGTTTAGGATATGGCATATACAGACAAACCAGGCATCTTATCACATCTTTATATCATTACATCTTTACATCAGGCAAAGAACACAGCGGACATCAAATGACAGAAGGTATTACACACCTAAAAAGAGCCAACAAGGCAAATAATAAAATAAATAAATAAATAATAAAAATACTAAAAAAGTAAATAAGGGTAGAGCAACCTCAAATCTGCTTAATAATGAAATCAATTTAAGAGCTTTCTTGTTTTTTACAAGTTTCAGTGACTTATTCATACATTTTATCTCATTCTTCCAGTGGTACAAGCAGGGTTTAGTCTTAAAGAACCTACATTTATGTATAAAGGACTTCCCCAATAGCATCACAACGTTAAGAACAAAATCCAATTCCTTGTTTCCAACAACCAAACCAAACTTTACTAACTCTACTGTCAATGGTGACGACACCATCTCCATGGACTGTAGCCAGCTCCACATACCATCAACTCAATATTGCCGTATGCTTGTTCAGCAAGCTGCAGCGGCTAACGTTAGCTATCTTTAAATGGGAAGTAACGTTAGGTTACCTTTAAAACGTTGCGGACACACGATGTGACAACCTTCGGTTTTAAGGATTATTTGAGAGGTGGGACTCAATTTTATATGCCCTATTTAGTCTCATACGGCTTTGTTAGCTAACGCGACAACAACGTTAGCTTTAGCTAAGTTAGCTAACGTTACCTAGCTCTTTCTGCCTGCATCGCATGCGTTCCCCAGATAAACAGTCATATACCCTCAATTTTTAATGCCACTTCAGCGACAAAATAGCTTGGTTTAACCATACAACGGTCGGGGTTTCTCTGTCACGAGAAAGCCTGTTGAAACTCAACTAAAAAACATTTCATCTTAGTCGCCCTGCCCATTTGCAGATGTTCCATGCATCATGTAACTGTCTTAACATGCAACTTTTTCTGAATTACCTCAGTATTCTTTCCAGTTAGAGAGGCTTTCTGTAACGCTAGCTCAATAACAACCTATTACATTTTTACAGTTTAGAATTGATTCGTCTCTAATTCCCTCCACCCTCATCTAATAAATCACAGTGCTGATGTGCAGTTTGATCCCTTACAAGTCACCATTATAAATAGCCAAGATGAATTGCTCTTTGGATCATATTAATCGCATCTCAACAAGCGATTGTGCTATAAAAATACCCCACAATAGGGCTTTGTCGCTGCATAACTCTGTTTCAGTGATGCTGCGTATCTGTCAAAGAAGGCCACCTGGTGGCCAGAGGAATATTTGTGCATCTCCTCAACTGGGTTAATCTCCGAGTAGGCTTATTTATCATTCATATCATTTACAGGCCAAGCTGTAGCTAAACAAAAATAATCAAACAGAAAAATTCCAAGTAGGACTGGCTGAACAACAGTTTCAAAAATGCTCACCTGTGGTGTCTTCATTTGCCAACACACCACATTGCTGGTTGTCAACAAGCTGTAAGATTAGGGTAAAGTCTAATATTCTGGATAGCAAAGCTACATGTGAAAGGTAAAAATAACCGTCTGACTCAAATTGCTGAACCCAGCCACTGAAAATATGATGTAGTGTAACAGAATCTTGTTGAAATCACATCAAAGTTACGTATTTACACATAGATCTACATCATGACAACAGCTCTTTGGGTTTTTGGGCAGAAATATGCTAAACTGTAAGTTATGAGCTTTCAAGTGTTAGATAAAATTTTGCAAGGCTACTAAACAGATACAATAAGAGTTCACAGTAAGGAAATATCTGTAATCCGGTGTGTACATTTCAACTTGTAAATGTTGTACTTAGCTATTTCTATACTTTTCAATTCATCATACATTAAAGCTAGACTGATAAATCAGCTGATATTAGCTTACTGCAGATACAGTATATAGGTATCGGTGTATATGTTAGCCAATAAGTTACAAGACATTGCAGAACAGAAATGCCAAACTAGGCCTGTAGGTATTTAGAAACAAAGTATCACTATAGTCACCAGAGAGGACTGACAGATTGATGGGTCAACCTATGGGTCAAGATTGATTGTTTATGTTATGTCTTTATGTAAAAAAAACTAAACAATGCAATCAGCTGATATATCATTATCAGATATTTTCAAAAAACTCCCAAATATTGATATCAGTTTTAGCCTCATAAATCCAGTGTTGGCCGGGCAATATTGTACACATCTTAAAAAGACCAACACTGAGTCACTGCTCTCCCATTTCTCTGTAATGTAATCTTCTGTTTGTGCCTGTTCATGTTTTTATTTTGTGTGTAAATAGGCTGCAGTCATGGGCCCAGACACTGCATCGGCCCCTAAAACAGAATCTTCAGAGGAAAGTAAGTGTGGATGCTCAAGTAACAAATCACTTATCTGATGCCCAGCACTAGGTGTACATATCCAAAGAAGGTTAAAATCAAGGGCAACTGGACTTGGTTGAAGCTATTCAAAGACGCTTCACCTCTCATCCAAGATGCTTTTTCAGTCCTAGGATTTAATATGTTGTAAACGTGTTACATTGCAGAAGATTGAATGCCCATTCAGTAAAGTAAAATAACCCTGCAACCCTTAACATGGACTACGGGTCTTTGTCACACTGGACTCAGTAGTTGAATTCATCCCTTCTAAAATCCATCCCAGGAATCACCTCACCTGTGTTTCCTCTGTGTATTCAGTTTATTTCAATCATTATGTTAAATTAGTCACTGATTTCCTGCTGAGATTTATTTCTAGTAAGTTTGCTCAGTAAAGTATTCAGAGGATATTCTTTGATGTGATTGTTCCTCAGGTCCAGGAGAAGTCGTCATGAAGGTGATCTCAGAATCAAATTCCAATGATGCTTCAACCGCTACTGAGCCCGAGAACTCCAAACAGCCAGAGAGCAACATATCAGACAAGTGTTACACTTGCTCCATCTGTGGAAAGGTATTTGACAGACCATCAAAGCTAGAGAGGCACAAACCTGTACACGCGAAGAAACCTAAAACTCTTCATCAGTGTCAGCACTGTGATAAGAGTTTCACACAAGAAGAGAAGCTGATCCGACACCAGAATTGCCACAGTAGGACTAACAAGCACCCCTGTCCAGACTGCGGAAAGGTTTTCAACAGGCCTTCAAAGTTAGAGAGACACAAGCACACGCACTCAAAGAAACCGAAGGTGCCTCACCAGTGTTCATACTGCATGAAGACTTTCAGTAAGCTTAACAAACTTGTCCGTCACAAGCGAATTCACACTGGGGAGAAGCCTTTTACCTGCTCGGTCTGCGGAAAGGGATTCTCCGAGTCGGGTCACTGCAAAGCGCATGAAAAGACGCACGAAGAGCAGCCGGAAAAACCCCACTGCTGTGCCGACTGTGGGATGTGCTTCTTCAAGGCCTCAGAGCTCCGTCGCCATTTCCGCTCCCACACAGGAGAGAAACCTTTTAGATGCACCCTGTGTGAGAGCTGCTTCTCCCGCTCTGAGGGACTTAAAAGACACATGAGGAGCCACACCGGGGAAAGACCATACAAATGCATTATCTGCGGAAAGGGCTTTTATTCTCGTCAGGATTTGAATATTCATGGTTTGATCCACTCAGGAGAGAAACCACATCTTTGCCCCGTGTGTGGCAAAGGCTTCTCACAGCTGGGCAACATGAAAGAACATGAACAAAATGTTCATATTAAGTCCGAGACATATATTTGCAATGAATGTGGGGCAACCTTTACGCGGTACAAGTCACTGACAAAACATCAGCGGACGCACACAGGAGAAAGACCCTATCTGTGCCTCACCTGTGGTCGCAGGTTTTCATGGAGCCATTCTCTTAGCCGACACCGGAGGACACATGCGCACAGACAGATGTCTGTGGATGCATCCAAAGACATATCAAGTTTTGAAGGACCCTCTGAGAATCCTAGCAGTTGAGAATTGAAATCCTTATAGAAAGGACATTTCATGTTCAAATAATTTTCAAACAATTCCTCAAGCTAAAATGTACTCATTTCTAGTCGTTTGTGGTACATTGAGAAAAATGTTTTAAGCTTTGTGACAGTTCACCTTGCTGCTTGCTTTGTTATTTTTCCACAAAAGATCAGTTAGAAATTCATTGTACATGGCTCCAGTTTGCCCATTTGTTCTCACAAATTTTATATTGATCAAAGCCAAAAGGTACATTCAAAGGCATCGGTGTTTATTGAATTATGTTGGCTATTTGTACTCTTGTGTGTTCCCTTTATGACAAATTTGGACTTAACTTTAGATAGTGTGGAATAATATCTCATATCATGGCATTAATTCCCATTTTTTATTAACCAAAAGATATGTCACAACCAAAGAAGAATTAACCCTGCCAGAAGGCAGGCAACTCTTAATTTGACATGCAACCAAACTGATACTAGATCAAATATTGACCAAATCTCTGCCACCGTAAATGGAGATGCCACGTCTTTACTAAATCTGAGTAAATGTCTGCCTACCAAAAGTGATTCACTTAATCTGATGTATTCTGCTACCTCACTGTAACAGTACCACAGAAGCAACACAAACATTAACCAGCACAGGATTTGTGCATGATTCGGTCCAAACCAGTAGCTCAGAGGTTTTCTTACTGCAGCCAATAGAAGGAAATTATTTTGAATTTTGTTAGCCAGTTGCCCACCATAAACACATTTGTTTTAGTTATTTTATACCAAATCCTTTTTTATAATGAAACCCATAACAGAATGGTTAATGGTGTTCTGACTCAGAGCAGAAAAGTGCTGTTACATTATTCTCTATGCAGGTATATTCTTTCTCACCACCACTGATTGCAGTGTGGCCACAGAAATGCAAGCTTAATGTGGATTGAAGGCAGTGTGCAGCAGCAGTTTCCCTTTGTTATGAGCTGTGTAAATTGAAATGAATGTAAGTATAATATATTTGTTTTTTTCAGTTTTAGTTTTATATTGATGCTTAGCATATACTGTATATTGTGTAGTTACATAATCCATTGATTTTTCTTAGTGATACTATTTACATACATGGTAGCTTACTGTCAATAAACAGCTGCATTACATAGTGCTGTAGTTCACCACATAGTAACAACCCAATGGGCCCCTTACATTCATAAATACATATTCAAGTAATGTGCTCAAATATTTATAAGTTGTGCCAATAATGATGTGAACTGAACCTTGAACTACATAAGTTATTTTATAGAAAATACAGCTGCCAATAAAGTGTCTTAATAATATGGCTATTGCAATTAAAGCATTTTTTAAATTATGTGTGATGTCTTTTTCCAAAGTACTTGCTACTCCCTCCCCCTGCGTTCATGGGGAGGGTCTGCCACCCGAAACCAAGTAGCGCGGTGAAGTTAGTTTTGAGTTGGATATTCGACAGACATTTACCCAGGATCCGGTGACGGCTTCTTACTCAGTTCACCCAGTGTCGGCAGTATAAATGCGGTTAGCTCACCTCCGATAGCTCGCTTTTAACCACAGGGGTTCAGCTTAGGGACCATCAATAAATTACAATTGTGTTATGGTAAAATTATCATTTATTTCAATAGCTTCCATGTCATGTGACCTACCGACTCCAAACCAATGCCGAATTGTAGTACTAGACTAGTCAAATCAGACACACCTCTTCATGTTAGATTTGAGTACTTGTCTTTATTTTATATGAATATTAATATTTTATGGAAGAAAATGCCCTTTTTTTCAATAGCTTCCATATCATGTGATTCATGGACTCCAAACCAATGCCGAATTGTAGTACTAGACTAGGCAAATCAGACACACCTCTTCATTTTAGATTTGAGTACTTGTTTTATTTTATATTAATATTTATTAATATTTTATTGGAGAAAATTGGTTTGGAGTCCATGAATCACATGGAAGCTATTGAAAAAAACCTCAAATCTAACATGAAGAGGTGTGTCTGATTTTCCTAGTGTAATACTACAATTTGGCATTGATTTGGAGTCGGTAGGTCACATGACATGGAAGCTATTGAAAAAAGGGGGCATTTTCTTCCATAAAATATTAATAAATATTAATATAAAATAAAAACAAGTACTCAAATCTAATATAACGAGGTGTGTCTGATTTGCCTAGTGTAGTACTACAATTTGGCATTGATATGGAGTCAGTAGGTCACATGACATGGAAGCTATTGGGAAAAAAAGAGGGCATTTTCTTCCATAAAATATTAATAAATATTCTTATAAAATAAAATATGAATTCAAATCTAAAATGAAGAGGTGTGTCTGATTTGCACAGTGTAGACAATTCGGCATTGATTTGGAGTTGGTAGGTCACATGACATGGAAGCCATTGAAATAAATGATGATTTTACCATAACACGGTTTTAACAATTGTAATTTATTGATGGTCCCTAAACTGAACCCCTGTGGTTAAAAGCGAGCTATCGGAGGTGAGCAAACCGCATTTATACTGCCGACACTGGGTGAACTGAGTAAGAAGCCGTCACCGGATCCTGGGTGAATGTCTGTCGAATATCCAACTTAAAACTAACTTCACCGCGATCGGATAGCAGTGTAAAACCCTCCAATGCTGAGTCAGCATCGATGCTGGCTTGTTGAAGACGTTTAACACCTTGGCTGCAGGATGGAGGACCCAATTCTTTAAAATGAGTTCCTTTAAACATGTAGGAATTTTAAATTACGAAACTACGCTGACATTTCTACATCACCATCGGTTTCATAGATAATACAACCGTTTTTTTATTGAACGTTATTCATCTTATACGACAACCTTCAGCCAAAACAAAAGCACATAAAACGACTGAATAATAAAACATTATACGACTAGAAACATCAAGTAACAAGCAACGAAGGCATTAAAAAATTAAATCTTTACAGATTTAAGCTGTTTTAACAACTTCACTATTCTTCAAACCATATAATGCTTCAGTATAATGTTTGATTTCTATTTGGAAAGGTTGTATTTGTGGTTTCTTTTTAGACCATTTGTATTTGTGAATGTAATATTTCCCATATAGGATAAAGAGGTTCAAAATATATAACCTAGTCTTTTACAAATCAATGTCAATCTAACCAAAATAATTTGGTACATAGACTAGAGTACAGGAGGGGAAGTGGCGAGGGTGTAGTTGTGTCTATTAACGTCACGTTTTTTACGTGCACCCCTTTTTATATACAATGTAGATGCTTTTAAGGTAAAAAAAATAAATAAATAAATAAAAAAATCCGACAACACGCGAAGGCAGCAATGACGTTCCACCGACTTTACCGGTTGCTAGGATACCGTTTGTTTGGTGTTACTAGTTGGAGAGCTATCAGACCAGATTGAGAAAATAGCCGTAGCTTTACCGTTAGTTTTTAAAGCAACATTTTAGGTCCTGTTGAAAGTAGGCATAGCTTAACACTTCACAAGAGAAAGAGATTATACATTTAGTTTTTCAGCCATGGCTCAACTTGAACTGGAAGCTGTAATTGGCTTCAACGGTGAGTTTTCCTGCAAACGTTAACTAATTTAGGCTAATTTGTGACAACAAATCAAACATCAAGGTAGGTAGCATGCCAATTTGTGCACAAAAAAGTGGGACTTTCTTTTCAGTTATTGTGTTTAATGCTTATAGGTTTGTGATATTTAAATGTCAAAGCTGCGTTTTTAAATGATCATAGCAGCACGATGAAGTGTTGTGTTGTTGTTCTTGGTTGGATTAACTAGCTAACGTTACCTGCCAAACTGGGAACTGTTGCAATGTCTGCTCATCCACTTTTCTTAAAACATGTTAGACCCCTCTTTTATACAGTTTTTGGGTTAGATATTATGTTAACACTTTTTTTTTCATCAGGTCATGTGATTTCTGGCCTGAGAGTCCATCCAGACAGAGAGCATCTGATTTATCCTCTGGGATCCACAGTCATTCTGAAGAGAATCAAAGATGGCAAGCAGGAGTTCCTGCATGGACACACAAACAATGTGTCCTGCATTTCTGTGTCCAGAAGTGGATTATATATTGCTTCTGGACAAATCAACTTCATGGGCTTTAAGGTAGCTGTAGTTCTGATTCATTATTCCTTATGTAACGTTAAGTTGCTGGTATGGCTGACTCAACTAAATCTCCAATTGCCTGTTTAAAACATATGATGTTACATATCACACATGTACACACAACATTTTGAAAAATACATATTTTTCTAGGCTACGATAATTATCTGGGACTATGCACAGCGAACAATCTATGCCCAGCTACTGCTCCACAAGGCAAAGGTAGAGGCACTGGCCTTCTCTCCCAACGACAAGTACCTGGTGTCCCTTGGGGGTCAGGATGATGGCAGGTAAACTGTGAATAACCCAAATGTGTCACAAAGGAATGAGTAATAGAGAAACACAATCAGTTGAAAAGCAGGATAGTAGTTTCGGAAAGTCATGATATACTCTGTACTATTTAAAAAATGTAAATATTACTTACCTGATATTAAAAACAAGATTTCAATGACAAGGTGTTAGAGTAAACACAGTACCTTTGCCATATTCAAACATATAATTTAATGAACCTGATATCCTCACAGTAAAGCATACACCGTTTTGCTGTGTGACTGAATGCTAATTGAGATGGGGCACATTATAACAGTATGTAACACTTGATAAATACAGTAATTTACTACAAATCAGTTCTTCAGTTAAGAAGAGAGAAAATGTCTCAGTAACTTAGTTGCCCATGCTCACACTTAACGATCCCTTCTTGGATTCAGAATGAAACAGTATCATGTAAATTCACTCAACTGTACATATTCTCTATTTGTTGACTATATTGGGTGTTTTCTATGTGTTTTCAGCATAGTGGTATGGAATATTGAGACCAAGCAGGCCATCTGTGGGAGCCCAGCTTCAGCTCACAGTGCCGGCCACTGCCTCGTGGTGCAGTACTCGAACACAAACGACAACATCTTTGTTTCTGCTGGGAGGTGAGTGAACGGTATCTTCTGGGATTCTGTGAACCAAGTGTCAGCCTTGTGCAACTCATAAACACAGATTTTACATAATTCAGAGGGTTTATCAACAAATTATATCTTTATCTTTATTATGGGGAACATCATTATGGGGTGTTGATGGTGCAGTGGATAAGACGCATGCCTTTGGTATGAGAGACCGGGTTAAATTCCCTACTGTGACATGTCCACCAATGTGTCCCTGAGCAAGACACTTAACCCCTAGTTGCCCCAGAGGTGTGTGACCTCTGGCATAAATAGCAATTGTAAGTCGATTTCGATAAAAGCGTCAGCTAAATGTAATGTAATGTATCATTGTTTCTCCCAAGCATACCTACATTCAAAATGTGTCTCTATCATCTCTTGTCAATGTGCAAAGTGTTTTAATATCGTTGGTCTTTTTTGGGCAGTGGAACATTGCGTGTCTGGGAGCTGGACCTCCCCAACAGAAAGATCAGGCCCACAGAGTGTCAGACAGGCAAGCTGAAGAGGATTGTGAAATCTATAGAGGTGCGAGGTCATGAACATCTTTTATTTACAACAGTTTGTTTACACTGCATATTTAACTAGTTTGCCATTTTGAGGTTCATCTGAGTTTTGCAATGGATGGATATTACCAAAAGTCAATAAATGATTAGTGTTGCAGTGGGAGATTTACAGCTGGTAATCTATTAACCTGACTAGAATTTGGGATATTAGACAGTTTTGCTCATGTTTTGCTCATGTTGGCTTGTTTAAATTATGACACAGATCCCAGAGGATGATCAGTTCTTTTTCTGTGGCACAACCAGTGGTGACATAATGAAAATCAACCTGAAGACAGGGCTTCTGAGTGACTGTGGTCCAGCTAAAGCAAAGTACAGCCTGGTAGGTCAGCACAGTGGAGTCATTACATTCCTAATATGGCTCTGTGAATGCTCACTCACATTCTACCTGATAGTCAGGTCTCTTGCTTCATATATTGAGCTGATTGAAATGCATCCTTCCTGAAATCAGTCTTCTTTGTGGGTATGTTCCTTTACTACTTGTATCCAGAGTCTTTTATTTATAATGTGTGGGAGTTCAGACAGCTCAGCAATTTTTGACAAAACTCACCAGGTGTTTCTAAATATATGGTTCAGCTAGTATCAAATAACTAGGAATGTGAAAAGTGATATGTTCTTGTGTACATAATAACTTTTTAGGACTATATCTAAAAACTCAGTGCTCATGCCTTTTTTTGTGCAGGGTGTCAATGTCTTAAGGATGCTTAAGTCTGGGAACCTGCTTGTAGGCTCTGGTTCTGGCACCTTCACTCTGTGTTCAAAGACTAACTTCAAAACTCTTAAGTAAGTTCTGCAACTGTATCATTTGAATCATCCCCATTACAAATACTTACATTTGCCTACTATTGTATGATGTGCAAGGCTCACAGCTTTTTTTCTCGATATGTTGTACATTATGATAAATATATAATAGTGTACAAATACAACGTTACTGGTTTTATTGTATGTTTATTAGAGTGCTCATTGTCAAATCCCCTTTTCCTCTTCTCCCACATTAGGGAGGTACAGCTTGAAAAGGGGGTGACCTCCATCGCTATAAGAGGAGAGGGTCAGCAGTTCTTTGTTGGGACAGAGGCTGCTCAAATGTACCGCTTCAGTTATGACAACTTCAAAGCTGAACTCATTTCCACCAGCCACAACAGTGCTGTCAAGGACGTAGCCATATGTTTGTAAGTGGACGACAGACAATTCAGGAAGAAAGAGTCAAAGTCATCAGTCACCCATGACAACATTTGCCATCATTTTTTTTTTATGGTTTGGATATGTGACCCACCAGAGGTAATAAAATGGCAAATGGCTTTTTTTTTTTTAAGTTTTTGAATTTGGCAATAAATATATTTCCTAAATTGACTGAAATGAAGAGAAATTAAACTCTGTCATGCTGTAAAATAATAATTTCTATCTGGGAGCTTGACAAGATGAAAGTATTTATGATGCACTGTCATGTTTATGACTAGTTAGTTGAGGTCATAAGAGCACCTTGCACAATGCCTATACAATTTCCAATTAGCAGCAAGGAAAACAAACATCAAACAGTGGTGGGCCAGCTGCCTGTTCAGATCTCAATGAAGATGTTGTCTGAGTCAACATTTTTACATCTGTCTCACAAAAACAACAGTGCATGCCCGATGTTTTCCCAAGCTTGATATGAGACTCACAAGCATGCAAAGGCACACCAGAAAGTGGTGCTTACCTTCACTTGGTGTTTTGGCCTACCTTACATATAGATAGGCTGAGCTGGTTCTGTATTTTTCTGACAACAGTAAGCCAGCAAGTTGCAAGTAGCTTAAACCCCATCTATCTTTTGTTATTGCATGACTTCAGTACCCTGTTGTGCTCACTAGAGGGTGACAAATGCTTGCCTCATCCATGTTGGTCCATTATGTTTAGAAAAACAGTATTGATTTTAGGTATATTGTACAAGCACCTGGGTAATATATTGAATCCAACTTCATCATATAAGTAATTATATGCATACTTGGTTAACATAAGGTTGTTATGCCTTTAACGTAATCAGCATTATTTTACAACAGATGGTTATATCCACATTCACTTCAGCTGTACATCTCTCTTTTTTGTTTTTCTACTAGTGGAACATCTGAATTATTTGCAACCTGCTCTGTGGAGGACATCAGGTTGTGGCACATAGACAAGCCCAAAGAGCTGCTGCGCATCACTGTACCCAATATGACCTGCAATTCCCTGGACTTCATGGTTGACGGACACAGCATCATCAGTGGTGGGAATCAGTGAGAGATATCTGCAGACAAGACGCTGGAGCTTATTGCTACAAAGAATATTCAGTTTTTGTTTCGTAGCGTGAGCCGTAGCTCACTTGTAACTTTAATTGTTCCTCAGTTACTTTAGCGCAGAAACATGTAACACTTTTTCCTAAATTACCAAACACATCTTTCACATACTGAATCAAAGTATTCTTCTTGATAACTGACTGTTAACATTTGATTTCACTGTCTTCTAGCATGGAATGATGGTAAGATTCGTGTGTTTGCGCCGGAGAGTGGCCGGCTCATGGTCGTCATTCACAACGCGCACAGAATGGGTGTGACAGCCATCGCTGGCACCAGGGACTGCAAGAGGATTGTTAGTGGTGGGGGAGAGGGGCAGGTCAGTGCAAATAACCTCAAAGTATGGTGTAATCTGATCAAATGAAAACACGAAGCAACACATTGAAATTCTCCACAAGCACTGAATTTGCAGTGCCCGCTAATTCCTCCAAGATGTCAGCAGTCATCTGCTAGCAGACACCATGTGTAGTGATTTGAATGAACAGTTGTTGCACAATTTTCTTGGATACTTTTTTTTCTTAATTAAGGAGCCATATGCTTAAAATGGAAAGATTATTCTCCATGGTTAATTTGTGAGTAAGCTAATCTTGTTAACATGGCTACCTATTTCATAACAAAACTTATGAAAGGAAAAGATTTCCTGCTCGAGAATTTTATGTGAGTGGCAGAGCAGCATGTCTAGACTTCTCTAAAGGAGCTGTTCATGCATTTCTGTTATTTATTGTGAAATTCCTCCTCAATGTGATGAACTGAAGGATGAACATGTTTATTTAAGTGAAGTCATTTTTTTATTAGAAAATCTGTGGGGAAATTTGCAAATGGTCACAGGATTTAATCCATTATACATTTATGATACATATCCAGACTGTATCACCCTTCAAATACATATTCACCATTTTATGTTTTTGAGCCCTGTGGCATACAGTATGATTGCAGTTTGACACATTTAGAAAGGTAAAAGGCATGCGGTTGAAGATCTTAGTATTGATTGACGCTAAATATTAATATTTGTATTCATAGTTGTGCAATTTGCATTACAAAATATTTAAATTCACTGTCATATCCTATGGAAAAGATATCTTGTGTGATGTTAAATGACCTTGGGTGCACCTGTCATAGGTGCGTGTTTGGGAGCTGCAGCCACGTGGCCATCGGCTGCTGGAGACCATGAAGGAGCACAAAGCCACTGTCAACTGTATCAAAATCAAGAGTGACGACAAAGAGTGTGTCACTGCCAGCTCTGACGGTGCCTGCATCATCTGGGACATAGTGTGAGTATCCCATCTGCATACACAAGCGTGTGTGTCTGAGCACAAGGCAAGAACAGCAACACACACATCTCACACATACAGTATGTACTTGTACTTGTATATTTAGTGCATAAAATACTCTTTTGACATTTGTTTTTAGTAGTAGTTTGTCATAGCCACCAGAGAGTTTTAGTGAGAGAGAAATGCAGAAGCAGTTCATCTGTGTCTGTCTGCTACAGTAGGAATAAAAAGAAATCCAGTGCATTCTTTATGAAGAAAGCTTAAAATCCTTTAATCTGTGGGCAGCTTCTGTGAGGAGAATAAAAACCTTTTAAAAACTCTGACGGTGGTCATGCTTTTTCACTGTTTATCCTCTTCAGTGAACAAGTCTGTGGATTAAAGGCTTCCAGGCTGTATTCATCAAGAGTAGTATGGACTGACTTTTGTTGCATGAATACTAACAAGCTGATGTTAAAAAGAATATCAGTCAGACAAGAGCTTTAATGATTCTAGATTGGCACACTGTCCAGCCAGACACACATTTCCACAGAGGAAGCTGTGCCGGTGTGTGTGTGTGCATGTTTAATTGGCATGTGAGTGCACAGTACATTTAAGCAGTTTTTTCCCCTAACTATCCAGATTGGCTTGTGTTTATTGTGTTTTCCTTTTTTAGCACATTAACCCACTCTGGGCAGTTCATGATGTGACAGCACTTTCATCACATGTGATTTTTCCACAACTCACCATTCTCTCTCCTCCTTTTTATTTTCAACTTCTGCATTTCCTCCTGCAGGCGGTTTGTGAGTCTTCAAATGGTGATTGCCAACACACTGTTCCGGACGGTGTGCTACCACCCAGAGGAATACCAGATCATTACCAGTGGCACTGACAGAAAGGTGAGTTTTGGGACTGTTAACAGAGCTGTGCAGCAGAATTGTAAGGCAATTCCAGTTTTTTTATTTGTATTTACTTTATTTATATCCCAACCAATATATCCCATCACTATGGTCTCAGAAATCTGCCCATGTATCTTTATCCTTAAGATTTGTTATGGTTGGTTTTATGCAATGGCATGTAAGAGTTGGTTAGCAAAGCGTTCCAGTCATGCCTCACAGGAAAAAACATGTAATGATTGTAATGATTGAAAATCCCTCAGGGTGCAAAGAGACAGCCACTCAACAGTCATAATCTAGATGTCTCATTATGCTGTTATTGTTATTATAATCTCCACTCAGTGTGCATGAGAGAAAACCCTGCCGCTCTGGTTAAGATCAGCCTAGAGGAGCACAGTGAAGACTTGCGCAATCACACACACTTGCATGCCCGTAGATTAGTTTGAAAAGCTTGTAATTTGTTTCTCAGCTCAGCATAATTAAGCCATTGTGTTGGCTGCTACTGTCACTGTGGCAAAAACACAGTTATTTTGATTAACTCACTCGCGCAACTTATTTACATAAGGTCAGAAGTTCACAGTGGCAGAATGAAATGCTTGTTTCCTTGATTGTGCACTTCATCCACGGCCCTTGATCCCGGCCACAAACCAGAACCCATATTGTCGCCTCCCCTGCATGCTGAGAGGTGAGGACAAGTTGTGCTGATTAACACAGGGCTGCGTGGATGTGCTGAGTGAGCGGGGAGAAAGAGAGAGAGAGAGAGAGAGAGTTAGCAAGAAGGAGGGATTCAGGGAAGGGGAGAGACAGGGGAGATAGAGGGGAGTGCTGTGGTGTTCGTGCCTTCCTGCGGATGTGCCTATGCCACCCAAGTGCCAGCCAGATCTACCATCTGCTCGTCCCAGGACACAGGCGCTCTGTCTAGGAGAACAAATACCAACGCTCCGCTCTCTCTCCTCTCCTTAATCCAACCGTTCATCACATCCCAGCACGCCTCTATGAGTAAATTCACAGAAAGTCAACCAAAAGAAGTGGGAGAAGGAGTGAAGAGAAAGAGACTGGCCAAGAGAAAAAAATAGAGGAGTGGGGGGTCAGGGAGAGGTTGTTTTAATGAGGTACTTTTAAAGGATGAAAAGCATTTTTTTGATGGTGCTTTTAGTAGAGACGATATGTTGCTGAATTTCTCCCCATTTTTGTGTTATTTTAGGAGGGCATGAATGAAAGTTGAAAGCAAGTTTATTGTACTGTTTCCAGTTAATGTTGTCATGTTTTTTGTTTATTTGTTTATTTGTTTGCTGTTGTGTTTGTGCTAAAGGGGGAATGTAGCCTTGATTGCTAACATAATTAAAATGTTAGATAGTACACTGGCAAGCACAAAATGAGCAACATATCCAGAGTTGAATATGTTAAACATTTTTGCGTCATTTTTGCTTTTTGTTGAGAGTATCTCAGTATATAGAGAGACAAGAAACACAGGGGGAGAGAGGGGAAGATGACTTGTGACAAGGGTTCATGCCTGGGAATGTTGAGATTACATGGTACAAGATCACAATCATTTTTCTTGACCCAATAACGTCCTTGAAAGACTCAAGGACAAGACAAGATGGCAAGAGTTTAATAAATTGGATAAGTTCTCTACAGTAAAAGGAGTGTGTGAGTGGTGGGCACATAGTATATGTACTGTACAATGAGTAATGTTAACAAAGAAAGCTGTCCTATAATACATTTTAATTTTGTATGGCTCATTTGGAATGCATATTTTTAAAGGATCCATTAACACAAGGACTTAATGTTGCTAATGTTTTCTGTAATATTGCCTGTAGCTGAGGCGACTATACTCTGGTTGTGAACTCAGGCCTTTCCTGGTAATAAGGTGAACAGTGCCGTTGGTAGGCCCGGTGTTTCAGACTCTCCCTTGCTCACCGCATGTAATTAATTTACTTGTGGCCTGTGTTGTGGCGGTAGGCCAGTTTCCCAGGCTGAGGTGGAGAGAACACAGATGGGCCAAGAAAACCCACACAGGTGGGAGTCTCTAATAAGCTGCTGAAATGAGACAAGGAAGGGGGGGAGAGGTCGTGACTGTGGCAGGGAGAAGAAGACGAAAGATGTCATGGGGAGAAGAAGGAGGAGTGTTACAATAACTTTGATCACACTGGGATATACAGAATATTGTACTGTACTGTATAAATATTATCTCTCATTAGTGGTATCTTTAGAGGTACTACTTTATTTGCTTTTTGTTGAAAAGGTGGTACTTTCATGTTGGTAAACACATTAGAAACCTCCACTGAATGGATTAGCATAATCTGTACATCTGAGAGCCTCAGGTCCTGATTTGATACTGAGTTTAATAAGGAAGGATTTCAGAAGTTTGTATTTAGTGTTTATAATGAACCCTTTTATCCTCTGGTTGTGGCTGTGTTTTTCTAAATTTCCTAAATTGTGGAAATATTAATGTCACCAAGCCTCTCCATCTGTCCTCTATGACTACTCTAAGCTGCTGCCATCAGGAATATGTTTATGTCGCCTGTATGTAAAACAAATGGAAGGAAGTTTGGTTTTATTCCAGAAGCCATTAGACTTGTGAACAGTCACAGTACAAAAAATTGTCAGTTTTCTTTGTGCATAGACCGATAAATGCTTTGGCACTTTGACCTAATCCTTGTATGTGTTCTAACATATGTCATATTTTATTTTTAGATTACTTTTTGATGTGTGTATAATAATTGTCTATGTGTACTTCTGTTCGCCCATTCGCTTGCCTTGAATCGCCCGTGCCAATCTACCAATACCCCCCCCCCCGGAATGTTCCGCTGGCTTGTAAGGACAGCTTATTGCTTTGAGAATCTGAAACTATAAATACGTTTTCTTTTGTTTTTTACTGAGCCTGTTGTTCCTCTTTCATTCCATAATAACCAACAGTATTTGATATGTCTGCATGAGATTGCGTTTCCCCTCCTGTAATGCATTATAGGCACGGCCTTGTGCAGACAAATGAAATCCTGTCTCAGAGGCTTTTCTTATAAATGTTGGGCTGTGCAGCTCCGTGTAACATATGAACTTTTCCTTTTACAAATAGCTGACCAGTGTGTATAATACTGTGTATGATTTTAATTTAGTTTAGTCCAATAGGACACTTCTGTTTTTCATTAGTGGCATTACAGTGAAGTTTTTCAGTAATTTGATATTTAGTTAGTTAAGTGCTTTAAACACTTGATTGACTTAGAAGTGCAATGTGTTTTACCAACTTTGAAATGGCCTCTGGACTTTTAAACTAGGGCCGAACAATTAATCATTCATCAATTAATCAACAATTAATCAAGAAAACATCTTTGTATGGTATAGATCCTTGCAAAAATCACACATTCATTTTGATATGTTTTTCAATGAAAATGAGAATAATGATGTAAAAATGATCATTTAAAAAATCATTCAGCCCTGAGGTCAATGCTAAGGTCTGCCACTAACTCTCCTATCAGAAACTCATTCACACAGGATGCCTCAGAAGACTGATTTGGTCATATAAATAACAAGAAAGGACCCTTGTTGGTGTCTAGTACTGTGATGATCTGCTGCCTGTGCTATAAATAACTTCAGCTAACAATTGCCTTTTGTGAGGCTTGATACTTTGACAGCTGTAAAGCTCCAGGGATGACTATATCTCATTTAGATCAGCAAACAAGGTTTCAATAGGTGTGTATATGAGAGGAAGTGGTAGGATGTAACTAAGTACACTACTTACTCAAGCACTGCAAATGTACTTTTTACTCCACTACATTTGTCTGACAGCTTTAATTAGTTACTTCTTCTCAGATTATTTCACACCCTTCCTGTCCAGTGAAAACTAATCTTCAAATGTGGTGATTTTGAATTAGATGTTTTTCTAATCAAGTGTTCTTGTTAGGGTTGAGAAAATTCTCCTACTTCTTAAGCTAAATAAAGGCTTAAAAAAAAAACTCGGACTAGCTGGTAAATGCATCGTCACAAAGCTGAAAACAGGGCTGAGCTACGTGGTTCTCATGGGTCAGTGAAGCTACAAACATATGATGATCTTACAGAATATAAATCATTGCTGTAGATTAAACTACCCAGTATATAAAGTATGTAAAATCAGCGCAACCTTAAACATATACAGCAGGAAAGTGCAACATACACATTAATATAGCAGGAATATTAATCCAGAAACATCAGATAAAATAGTAAAACACTACTTATCATTTCTGCATGATGAATAGTTTTACTTTGTACATTTTGCTTATAACACTGATTGATTTTTTTCCTCCTTGTTATCAAGGATAAAGAGACTGCACAATATTTGTGTACTGTAGAGGCACACATAACATATGTTTGCATCTCCTTCCCTCTTGGACACTGAGTCCTCCGTGAACTATGCTAGTGACGAACAAATATGTGTTACGTACGACACATGCAACTGCAATTTCAGGGTTTCTGTGTGTTAATGTCCTACTCAGGTCTCCTACTGGGATGTGTTTGATGGTTCTACCATCAGAGAACTGGAGGGCTCGCTGTCTGGGGCCATCAATGGCATGCACATCTCCCAGGATGGCAAACACTTTGTCACAGGTACGGCCCTTTACTCATCTGCTGCTCGTTATATTGTTGATGTACACCTTTTAGAGATCATTACTGTTGATATAATTCAACCAAAAACAAATTACAAATCAAAATTTACAAAAATCTCTTGGGTACATGAGCACTCAGTATATGGATAGTTATTGTAGCACATCCCTCCAAAAGATGGTCTGACACTTGAACTGTTATCATTTTACACTTTCCCCAATCACTGCTGATTATGCTCATTTTCGGATCAAAGGATGCTTGGTTTCTTTGTGAATAATGTTTCAGTTAGTGCCCATTATTTGTATTTTTTTGTTCAGAACCTGTGTTTTCACCTCTGTGGACACTACATCGCATGCTCTTACTCAAACTGCTCGCATGTTATTGATATATATCTGACCTTTTCACGACAGGTGGAGATGACAAGCTGGTGAAGGTGTGGGACTACATGGAAGGGGCAGTAACCCACATAGGGATAGCTCATGGTGGCAGTATTACCAGCATCAAGATCTGCTCCAACAACAAGACCCTAGTCAGCACCAGCGCAGATGGAGCCATTCTCCGATGGAGGTTCCCCCACCCTCCTTCCTCTTAATGTGACATGTGGAGTCCTGGACACTAGAACCAACAGACAAGTTTAACTCAGTAACGCCACACACGTGCTCAATTACATCCAACATTATCCCGTAATCTTTCCACTTAGCAAATGTTCTTGTGAGAATTAAACAATCTTAACATTGGTATTGCAGAATGGATTTACACTCTGACCAAAGGATATACTGTAAATGTGTTTTGATTAAGCATCAATGGCTATATGAGGTCGTTTCCTTTTAGCAGTGCAGTCTCTTAAGTGGTAGTTCCCCACAGGAGCTGATTATAGGTGGGAATTCACAGGGCGACACTTTACTTGAATTTAAAATTACACTTCAAGGCACAAGAATGTATTCTTCACATCAAAGTGTCTGTGTTATGCTTCTTTAGACATTTTTAGAACAACAGAATTAATGCTGTACTTTCTCAGTGCAGATGAAACCAGAATATATAAAAACAAGGCTACATTATACAGCAGATTAAATGTACTATGATTCTTCTGTGTGCTACTGTAGAGAGGAGGAGGCCCAGTTTCTTAGCCGCTTAAGCACATGGCTGCTGTCAGCTAATCTATCAACAGCGAGTCCCTAAAGGATTCTTGTTAAAGAGGGAGGCAACATACAACACAAAGCCTCTCTGACTCTGTCTCTGATCTGAACCCTTTTCTCCTCACTATTGTTCAAAATGGCTCATCTAAATAATTAATAACTCACCCCTGCTTCCCTTCCCAAAAAATAAAATAAAATGGCAAACCTGCAGTATGAACCACATCAGCAAAAACATCCCATGATCAATAAAAAAGATTGTTCTTTGCCCTTCTCTACTCTGTTATGAACAAAGGACAAATTGTGGGTCATTTTCATAATGAAGAAACACAAGAAGTCCCATTTTGACAGACTTTGTCTGTGTGGATGTTTCCTAACAATGCAGGAGTAAGAGCATTTGGGAGATTATGGAAATATTGGATGGGACTATCTATTTCAATAAATCAGCACATCTGGCCCACTAAATCCAATCTTTAGTACTGATGAGCTGTGAAATTAAGCTTCACGATGATTAGAATCTGAATATAGCACTAAAGATGCTGGATCTGGAAAACCAGAACTGCACATAGCTCGTCTGGCCGAATAGTTCACTAACATCAATTTTACTTACATTGTGGGGCTTCCAGGGGGTAGTAGCAGCAGCAGCATTCATGTGTGTGAAGAGGGTAGCCAGGCTATTTATAGGATACTGGACATGTGTCTGTAAACGTTGCCATGTTATAGACAAGGTATTTCAATAGCAGGTGATGTGACGGTACATCTCAAGTACAGCAGCGCTATTCTGTATTTAAGAAGTCCATACTCTTACTATGGAGTGATGATATGCACCACTAAAAGGCACCTAGTAGCTGATTTGTCTTCATTTTTACATTTTTAGGATTGGGGTTGGAAATAGATTAAGTGTGAAGTTTTACATGTATGCTCCTAGTGGGATCATCCAACAAATGCCGGTGATGTTTTCTTTGACACCCTATGAAGACGTTAAATCAGGTGAGGTTGTAATTGATCCTACAGGGGGCAGTTCAAGGCTACAGTGCGTGACACCTGTTAAAGACAACTTCCTTGTTCCTTGCCTAATAAACAAGCCCTTTTAAGTATGTTAATTGTGTGAAACTTCATGAAATGAGTGTCCCTGTTCATTGTGTCAACCTTTCTATTGTGATAAAGTACAAGCAATCTAATCCAGGTTAATTAAATTCATGTCTAAGGGGCGGGCGTTAGACGGAATCCTCCAAATAGAAAAGTTGTTCATTATAATGTGGCCCCATAGACAGGAGAGGAGATGAGAGGAGAGGGAGGGTGGAATAGCGGTGAGAGAGTGAAAGACCGCCAGCGCAAGATCCAGCGCCGTCCAGAGCCGTCGACGAGGAAGTGTAATTGACCTGCGATGTGGAGGAAGGAAAGCAGCTCATCTCTGTAGGTCCAGGAGACAGCGTTACCCATCAGAGTGCGCGGACTGGTGACCACAGCGTACTGGGAACTGTCGGGATGTCAAGGGAATAATATAAGTAATCATGTGCCTTATTGGTACCAAGTCGGTGCCACCTCAGTGGTAAGGTTTGTAGAGAAAAGGGAAGCGAAGGAGGAGGGGTATACAGCCTGGCAGACAGGTGCGATTCTGCAGCCTGTTTCATTTTCTCTCCGTCCTATTAAGTAATAGAGCCATGGATACCCGCAAGGAAAACAAGGTAAGGAAACCCATGAAACCGAAAACGACGAAGCGAAAAGAGAATAAATACAAAACCGGGAGGTTTGCCAGGAGGAAGTCGGTGCGATCTTTTGGGAATTTCATGGGAAGGATCCTTAAAACTTTGGGCACTTTGGCGCACTTTGGCGACGTTGAACCGCCGGACGCTGAGGACGACGACGGCGGCTTCGGGCGAAGCGCTTCTGGGGGTTTCAAAGACGACTCGTCGCAGATCTCCAGGGAGGGCACCGTGAAGAAGAGCAACACGGTTTCCTCCACTCACGGCTCGGTGAAAGACAGGCTGTCGTGGTGCTACGGCGACAAAACCCCCGGGGTGCTGGGACTGAAGAACCACGGCAACACCTGTTTCATGAACGCCGTGGTTCAGTGCCTCAGCAACACGGACCTGCTGGCCGAATACCTCGGGCTGGAGCAGTACAAGTCGGATATAAGCCACCGGAGGGTGAACGGGGAGGTGAGAGGCGAAGAGAGGCAGACCGCCAGGGGAGAAGTGACCGAGCAACTGGCGTCGCTGGTTAGAGCGCTGTGGACGCTGGAATACACGCCGCAGCTGTCTGTGGACTTCAAGGTGAGGACAGAGAGGGCATCTGGATGTTTGTCTATCAGGCTGCTGCTTATGTCACTGGTTTGTTGTGTTGTTTAGTTGTGTGTCCTCATTTACCTCAGTGGAAAGTACTGTTTTGGACACAGCATACTTTCCTGCCAGGCCTGGTGATTAGAAATTAGGCTAGGCTACTATAAAGAGAGAGAGAGATGTCAATGAACAAATATCGTTTTCTTGTGTGTTTTGTTAAATATTACATGGATATTTTTTGCAATTTATTCAGCAAGCTGGATAATAGCATGGCTATATTTCCATTAACAAGGCAAGCATGGGCCCCAGACCCCCAGGGGCCCTAAAGTCCCCAGGTTAAACCATGTGTCAGTAGGTTTGTGATTATGTGATTAACTGCACATTTGTCTGGGAACATACTTAAGCACAATGCAACACAAAACATGGGCCTTAGGGCATTTTAAATTAAATTACCACGAAACTAACACACTACAAACATGTGAACAGGTAGCAATCCAGCACAGGAGCACTGGTGGGTTTCTGGGTCTCAAGGCAAAATATAATTACGTTGCCTTGAGTTGTCTGCTGTGTGTGCTGCACTCAGCGTGTACTTGGAGAGGACAGTGTACATACTCGTTGGACAGAAAAAGGGAGAAAGAGGGGGGTCGATAGGGGCTCAACAGGAAATCTGTGCCCCGGGACCCCCTGTGAGCTACTCCAGAAATGGATAAGGGACGTCATTATCTTCAGGCTAGATTACTTGTTCATATTCTTCCCATGGAATCTCTTCAGTTACTAGCCACACAGTTTATTTACCTCAGCACACAGTCATAATAGCTTTAGTGTAACTTGTGTGTCCTGTGCCTCTACTCAAGAGCAAGGCTACCAGCACAGCGTGAAGCAGAGTGTGTCATGAGGATTTTGTGGGATTTGTAAGTGGTAGTTCCCAACTATCTCAGTCTTGGCAAAACAAATATTTGAATGAACACGTCAGGTGAGCACTTGATTGAATTAGGTTCAAGGGTCAACCTGCACGTCCCATTTCCGCAAATAAAGGCGCACAGGATACGTTCTAATGTTTCATGGGGAGGAGGCAAACATTAGCTATGTGAAGCAGTAAGAACAATAAAAAAAACCCTCACCACTTCGCCTCACAGTTCTATTGTTTGTTGAACTAGTGGTAGTTTCAGGTATGTGTGTAGTGTTACTGATTACATGCAGGCTGCAGTGTCTTCACTTGACTCACCTGCTCTACAAGCACTTCAGGTGGTTTGTCTGCATTCCCCAACTGTCAAGTGGAGTGTGTGGGAATTGAGCATTCCTGTCTTATTAACACTGTTAAATGCATGTAATAGAAGTGCATGGACTACATTACAGTTGCAACATTATCTGTCAAAATGTAAGTATATCAAATCAACAAGTGGCAGCACACTTAAACACAGAAGTCTTCTTTCTCTCTTGCAGTCACTCATGGCTGTTGTGAGAGCCAGGGGTGCAGGGCCCCCAGCCTTCCCTCTGGGCTTTTTGGATGACAGTCAACTAGTAGGCTCACTGAGTAGTAACTGCTCTGTTGCATCAACAGCCTGGGGGATGTTGTAGGGCAGTGGGTATGCAGTATGTACACAAAAAAAACACACACACACAATCGCACATTGCACGGTACACACAGTGGGATATTCATGACAGTGACTTTGGACAAAGCTTTCTTCAACCACAACCATGAGTTAGTAATAAATGAATAGAGAGTGCAATCTAGTCCAAAGCTGTAAGGAAAAGTTACTGATTAATACAGAATAAGAGCTTTCATCTGGGGAAAAACCCCCCAACAAGGAGTCATGGTGTTATGGATCATTAATGCTGAGCACCTGCATAAATGAAAAATTTAAAGAGCAGATTTTAAACTCTTGTCACATGCAGCTTCACTATCTTGACTCTGTGCAGACAAATAAAAGGACTGCGTGCCTCACCTGTGGTGTAAGTTGTATACTTTTATTTATAAACACTGAGAACCAAACCTGCTCAGCCTGGGTGTCCTGCGTTTGGTTCCTAAGCTCTTGTTTTTCTGTGTCTGTGCTTGGCTAACGTAACAGAACAATCTGACCAGCAGACACCAACTCGGATAAACTTTATGATGTAGTCACAGATCTTATCACTTTAAGGTTATGTGGAGGACAGTCAGAGACTTTCATAGAGAAGCACATAAAGTTGTGTTCTCAAAGCCTTGGCTGAAGGATTCAGTACCTTAGTGGGCTACAGACTTTCTTTCAGACTTTGCACCCCTGCATTTCAGCTGGCATTCCAGTCTGCTAGCAGTAAGTCTCCAGTCCAGCCTGCTAGCATCTGGTCCGCTAGCTTTCAGTCTGCACCTCAGTCTGCTCTTCAGCCTGATGACCTATCAGCAAGCTTCATGCATGCTAGCCACCAGCCTTCATCCTGCCCTGCTAGCCACAAGAGTCCCCTGGCTCCCGTGGAGGCCACAAGAGTAGACGAGGACGTCATGGCTCCCAACACCATTGGCAATCTAAGTCTCTCATCACCCCCAGAGCCTCTACTGCCCTGCTCCTCATCTACGCCACTGCCTAGTTTCTTCTCCATGCCGCTGTCCTGTCTCCTGGTCACCCTCCGGACTTGCTCTGTCCTTCAGTCTTGCCTCCTGGTTGCCCACTGGACCTGCTCAGCCCTTCGGTCTTGCTTCCTGGTCGCCCTTCAGATCTACTCAGCCCATCAGTCCTGCTTTCTGGTTGCCCTCCGGACCTGCTCCGCCTATCTGTTCTGCCCCCAAGCCATCCGCCTGAGGACTCCTGCTGTGCCCCTGTCCAGCCCTCTGGCTGTCTGCCAGAGAGCACAAGCTCCTCTCTTCAGCTCCTGCGGACACTATCAGATATCAGTGACTGGAATGGCCACCTGCTGGAAGGAAATACTGAGTTTTAGCTCTTGAACGTAATGTGTGAATGTGCCGTCCTATGTTTAAATAGAGGCATTCGCTCTTTCCTCTTTTTTTCCTTTATTACCTCTCATCATACTTGGCTGCAATAAAAACAAAGCGTGTCCTTCACTCCCTTTTTCTTTCTCGCCTCGCCCCATCGCATCGACACAGTGATTTGTGTCTGTCTGCTCATCCCAGGGGGAGGCAGGAGAGAGGATGTTTACTGTAGCAAGTGCATTCAGCCTGGAAAGGGAGGATGCCCCCCTGCTGAGACGCCTCCAATGGCGTGCACTCAGAAAGAGAGAGAAAGTGAAAGTGGGAGGGAGAGACATTGCTGGTAAACAAAACTATTGGCCTTCTGTGATCCTCACAAGACCCCCCTTAATCTACAATTGGAAAAAAAGGGACAGACAACTTTGACAACTGATTATTACCACATCTCTCCACATTTAAAGAAAGGCACTGGCCTGCAAAGAAGTGGAACAAAGAAACTTTGCTGTGAGATAAGGGTTCTTGCAGTACTTTTTCTACCTTCTTTTGCTTTGGGATTGGTATTAGGAATGAGTAGGAGTAATGACTTGTCAGTAGAAGTCACAATGTTTCAACTCAAGATTCCGGAATGACCTCAGTGTTGTAGCAGGGAATTCAGTCAGCATTTAAATGTTGGATGCGTTTTCTCAAAAATGTTTGACTGAAAACAAGTTTTGTTTTGCTTTCTTGGCCTTTTGAAAAAACAAAATGCAGAATATGTCTGTTATATTCTGCTGCATCCAAACATTCAAAATAAAATAAAAGACAATGTCCGTATTTGACCCAATATCACAGTAAAGTTTTAATTATGTGAATCACTAGACTGGTTTTAATAAGTCATGCTTATGGTTGTGGTTTGATTAAAAAGTGAGGTACTTATTCCTCACTGGAAAGTGAAAGGATGAGAAAGGAGAAGGTTCTCCTGCGGATCATTGTTAGATTAAGACAGGGGAATATTCACCGTGTCTTCTGTGGGCACTTATACACAGTGTAGAGGGTAGCTGAGGGTTAGGGGTTAGGGTTAACTCAGCACTTACCTCATTTGTAAAATGGCTCACCTGCACGCCCTCATTAGATCCTTATGTGTCCTACACAATGAGTTTGACTGATATGAAATGTGTTACCAAATGCAGCTATGCTTCTAAATGACAGTGATCAGCCGAATGGAGGTGCTGTATTTAAAGGTCATGTCCAACTTTGACATAACTGCTTTGCTACACATTTGATGTTGATGAAATCTGGAAGGATGAAGTGTCCTTTGATTTGCTGGCCTAAAAAGTTGTCTACATCAATTTAACTTGATGACCACTTTTACCACTTTACACTCCTAACCTAAAGGATTTAACAACACAGTAACTACTTTTAGCAGTTGGAGCGAGGAGCCCGGATCCATCTTCTTACGCTTGACAGGATGCAGCTCCGTGAGGCCAGTGGAACTCAGCCGGGAAGATGAAGTCCCGTGTTTTAAGTAGTCTTGTTTGTTCCGGGAGTGCAGGCAGTGTGTGACAGTGAGGCAGGCCAACGAGACTGATGGTTTGTTTGTCTTTTCTTGTCTCTGCTCTCCTTCAAGGACCACTCTCATCCTCACTCTCAGTGCTGAAGACGTATACACTGTTTATAGAAAGACACCCACACATTGCTGTGGGGACACGCACCACCTGGACTCTGCCTCTCATTCTAGTTTGATTGCGGCAGTTTGTCAGTGAAGCAGATGGGGGACTATTTTGTGGAGATTTTTAGCAGTGTAAACAGGCTAGAAGATTTTGTTTTTTGTTTTCAAGCTCTACAATAGATATTATAACAGCGTATTTTACAGTATATTTGGCCACAGACATGCAGTAGGGTCTATGTCTCAGCTGTTGAAGTGAGCGGCGAAGTAGTCATGCTTCAAACGCTTCATCTCACACTTATAAAACACAAGCTAGACCACTTAAAAGTACTGTTACAGAGCCACCATATGCTGTTTGGAAGCAGCATGCATTCCCATGACTCAGTGAGCCACACTCCATTATGTCTACACCGCTGTGACAAAAGGGTGATAAAGAAACACAAGAAGTATGTCTGCGCTGTGTCTGTGAAAGCACAACAATATGAGACCATTTTCCACAAGTTTATTATGCCTCCCATGATTTATGTACCAAGCCTGAATGACACAATGTAAGAAGCCATGGGAATAAATCAATCGAATTCTGGGATTTGACACTGAATCATCGAAGAGAGCCTGGGATGACTTACATTTACATTTATTCATTTAGCTGACGCTTTTATCCAAAGCGACTTACAATTGCTATACATGTCAGAGGTTGCACGCCTCTGGAGCAACTAGGGGTTAAGTGTCTTGCTCAGGGTCACAGTATTGAACCCGGGTCTCTCACATCAAAGGCATGTGTCTTATCCATTGCCCCATCACCACCCGACTTTCCTACTTTTATTTCAGTGATAGGAAGCACATGGAAATGGTATGCAAGCTCTCGGCAGCGTGACAGACACAGCTTCCTAGACTCTCAGTCGTGCACACAGTAGCGTATTAACAGCCTCAACTGTGAGTATCAATTTCTCAGTTTCAGCAGAGCCCAGGGAGCCTTCTCTGGACTGTGAACCATTCAGAGGCGATTATTTCCATCGCATCTCATCCCTTCTTATTTCTTACTGATCGCCTGTAAATCCCACGCCGGCGACATCTGCAGACACGCAGGCTTTGTTCAATTTTGACTCGCTGGAACCTTTTTATTGAAGAGTTTCCAAGCCTCTCAGCGTTGCAGAGAAAATAAAGGTCTGATTCCAAGACATAGCACTTAGATATGTCATCAAAAATACCTGCCTAGTTCTCCATTGTTCTGGAGGTGAATCCACTGTGGCCCAGGGTAAAACATGAAGTAGCAGATTTGGAAGGAGGACAGCAGGAGGAGGAGGCAGGGAAGGACTGGTTCTAACACTACTAAGAGAGGCTCGTCTGTGTGTGTATGTGTGTGTTTTCTAGGGGTAAGCTGGGCTGGCTGGAGCTCAGCTGGGACTGATTAGTGGAGGGAATGGTTCTTGCATGATAGAGGGGAAAGAAAAAGACAAAATAGAGAGGAAAAGAAAGAGGACCGTGAGGGTGTGTGTGTGTGATACTGGAAAAGGATAGATGAAACACAGCGTGAGGGGAGGGAGAGAGGAATAAGTGGAGGTTGTAAGTGATGACTGCTCTGCGTCCGGTCTGTTCTGACAGCAAAGGTGAGCCGGCAACACCAGGCTGTTGAAAAATGAAATGGCAAATGGAGCTGCTAGTAATGACAGATTCTATCCAGCCTCATTCCAGCCACACCTGGGGGGGGGGGTGGGTAGAGTGTGGAAAAGAGTGTGCAGTTCCTCTTAAGGTCATCATACCCTGTCATAATTTGTCAGTATCATTTTCTGTCACGGAGATATCCATCCCGGCCTGTTTGGCAGGCTGGACAACGATGAGGTGAGGTGGTGTAAATGTTTTTTTTAGGGAAAGAGAGAGGGAGAGAGGAGGGACATTTGCTTGATGTATGGTTGTAGTAAATTCCTGGTCTGTCAGCACTCGGATCAGTCATTGTTTACAGAGTAGGAGGATGGATGTGGCGAGGGCGTGAGGGGGTAACGGTGTGAGGTGAAGCAAAGGTAGCAAGACAGGACTCTAAAATAGACATCTGGGTGTCGAAGCAGGGGATGTTGCAAGATTGCAGTAAATAGCCCTATATTATGGAAAAATAGAGACTATGCAGTTTTGTTCTACATGCTCTGATATACTGAGAAAAACTGAACAAAATCAATAAATGAAATGAAGCTTACATCAAGCTACAACACATTAAGAGAAATGCTGCCAGAATCCACCACATCGGGTCAGGCCTAGTCAGGTGTGGGTTGAGAATCTGATCCTTGTCTCTTGGCTAATCAATAGTTCTTTCAAAAAGTTGACTCTTACACCCACCTTTGTCCTCTCCTTGACTGGCTCTGACGCGTTTGCTCAACAAACACTTAAGATCCCACCAGAGCTGAGCCCAGGTCAGCTTCCAACACTGCAAGTGTTTGCAGAGGAACTCGACATTTCAACTAATCTGCAATTGTTTTCTTTGTCTTTGTCCTCGCCATCTTATTCGTTTTGTTCTTCCTTTCATTTCTCCCCTTACAAGAATTCAATTAAACAAGACTTAAAGCTTGGGAATACAACTTTGCCAAATCTTTTAAAGTGCTTTTGAGGCTGTGTGGCACATTTAACCAGAGACACTCTGAGAGACACCACTGTGAACAGATACCAAATAGATGAACAAAATTCCCATCACCAGCTTTGGCGCACACACACACACACACACACAGAGAGTAGGCAGCAGAGATGAGGCCAGTGGAGAAGTCATCCCCTCATCTTAATGAAGTCGTAACCTCTTGATGCCATCAGGTTTCTGTGCCCAGACTCACTGTAACCTTGGAAACTGCCCGTCTTTCTCTTTGCCTTAGTGTTTTTGTCCCCTCGTATTTTGTTGGTAACTTTGAAAAACTGTGCTGCCTCCGTTTTCTCACTTTTCATCTCTGGGCCAGCTGCAACTGTGCCGTCCTTTTGATAGGGAGACAACAAAACATTCGCAGGTCTGTTGAAGCTCTGCCAGCATCCTTCCCTCACTCCTCTCCTCCCTTGCATCACTGCTCCCTCTCTCCATCTGTCCCTCATCCCTCCATCCCCTGTCAGGGCTTCCTCATAGTGATGAAGCTCATTAGCGGGCTATCTCCGTCAGGTAGGGGGGGGGGCTCCCTCTTGTGTTTATATTTAGATGATGGCATACCGTAGGTATGGTGTGGTGGTTTTTAATGAGGTGTGGAGCTGAGCCTGGATCCTGTCAGTCACACGCAGAGAGGGAGAGAGACGGAAAGGTAGCCATCCAGTGTTGTGTTAATGCTGTCGATAGTTTGTTGTGTGTCATTTTCTCTGTCTGACTCATAAACTCACAACTCCTTCCTTATAGTTGAATTAGACCGTGTGCCTGTTCTTTTTTCTAGAATGACCCGTCAGGTTTGGGATAACTTCTGTGTGAGTTGTCATTTGGTATGCAGTGTATAAATGTGTTTGGAGAACAGTTTTTTTTGTTGTTTGTTTTTCTTTAAATGTTATTGGGCACCACAAATGGCTCATGAGTGACTGATGTGGCTGTACATTATTGTAAAACAACCACAGTCCTAAAATCCAGTCCTAAAAAAGTATGAACAGCAGTTTGAACTTGGTGTTCCTGTCTGACAATATAATTTACATTGCTGAAAATGTTTTGGGCCAGATAACGTGATTTGCAATGTGTATCTTCTGTGCGGTCTATTGTGATTAGTGCGCTCTGCCTCTTCATCTTTTGCACTTGACTTTTTTACTGATAAAACAGTTCCTATTTTTATAGAGTGCAGTGTCCAAAGATAAGTGTGAATGACTTTATTACATGATCTTATCATAGCCAAATAATGTCTGACAGATGTTTTCAAATGAGTCTGCATTAATTGATGATAAGAGAGACATGTTCCTGATTTTTTTCCCACCTCTTTCCTGAGTGTGTCAAGCCGAACCAACTCTTAACAAAAACAATGTTTTCCCAGTGTTCCATGTGATCATGGCCTCGTTTTGTTAGGATGGATGTCACTATTTAATGACTTTTCAAATCACCCAAAGTGACAGACTAATTATGATGTCTCTTCTCTCCTTAGAGCACTGTGGCCAAGTACAGCTCTCAGTTTCGGGGAAACTCTCAGCATGATGCCCTCGAATTCCTCCTCTGGCTTTTGGACAGAGTTCATGAAGATGCTAATTCCAGCCCCAACAACAACAGTAGCAGCAGCAGCAGCAAGACCAAAGCCAACGCAAAGGTAAAATGATAAATGTGATCACGGCTTATTTACAATGCAGATACTGCTGTTGCTACTGCTATTTCATACCATTTAGTAATGAAACTTGACTTGGTCGTCAGGTGTAAAAGTTGTAGCTGCTTGAGTTCCGTCACATGTATCCTTTCCTCTATCTCTCCCTGTCTCACACCCACACACAAATACACACAAAGCTCCTGTGTCACTGTATCACCTACCTCACTGCTAAAAACAAATTGGTACACAGTTTTGTTGAGCTAGTTTTCTTGATGACAAATGTGAGCAGGTCACATTTTACTGAATCCCCGAGCCATCCCAGACATCCCAGTCACTTCAAATGTGTGATTTTCTTTGCAAGATGTATAAAGATGACTTGTAAGAGATGTGATTTGCTCCACTCAATAAGAATGCGAGAAGAAACCTAGAGGAATATGTTTGAAATTGTTCTAGGTTGAATCTTCCCATCCAGTCTCTTCTCCAAATTCAGTTTTGTTCACAGGCAGTAGAAGCAGAAATCTGCTGCTCCACGTTAAGCTCCGTCTGGCACATTCACGCTGCATCAAAACCCGTCAAATTTCACATTTGTTTTTGTACACAGCTGCGTCCCATTATGATCCATCTTCAGGTGCAGAAACATGCTGAGGCCATTGTATAATCAGAGCAGGGCATCAGTTTGGGATACAGTTATATGATGCAGGCCAAGCTTTCTATGGCAGACGTCATAATTGGTCCACTCTATGGCCATCCTCCTGTGAAAAGATCAAAAAAGAACAAGTTTTTTTAACTCTAGTCAAAGAAATTGCTTCACACATGTTCACCAAGAGATTTTTCAGAAGGAGTCTGTCTTTTCAAAGCCAGTAACCTCACAGGTCCCAGAATGGAGCTGGTTCTGTGAAGAGTCAATGATGCAGCGATGCAGGTATGAGTGCCATTGTGGTTCTTCCACCTGCAGTTTAGTTGAAATCCACTAATCCTTAGTTTGAAATGAACCTTTGTGTGCAGTGGTCCTTTTCCTGTGAGATGTAAAAGGAGAAGCTGTTGAAGAGGCAGGCATCCGTTCCCTGTCTCTCGCTATCTTTCTGTGTATTTCTCTCTGTCTCTGTCTCTGTGGGATGTTCACCATGCAACCTTGCACTTGGAGAGGAGCCAGGACTGGATGTGATGCGGTCAGAGGTAATGAAGGACAGACAAGTCATGACTGAGTTGATTACTTTTTATCATGACTAGTGTCTGACTTCAGTGCTTGCCAAGTCCAAAAAGCCAGTATAAATTTATGCACTTGAAATGTGCCTTGTGTCACTAGCAATATTGTTTCACATAAACAGAAACAAATTGTATTCAATTTTATCAATTTTATTAAAATGTTATTTAGGTTTGGACTATACTCTTTGTAATATTGTTTACAGAGACCAAATAGTTCCCACCATGACCAAGCACTTGGTGAAAATGGTAAGGAAAAGGTTCAGGTAGGTACAGGTAACAGGTAGAAACCTTGAGCAGAACCTACAATCAGGGTGAGTGACATCTGCCTCAACCAGTTTTTGTGGGTGGGGTGGGGTGGGGGGTAATGATGATAAAAATAGGAATAATAATAATAATTGTAGCAGTGGGTGTCGAGCAGGAACAGTAGGTAGCTGCAACCACAGATCCAGACTCTTTAGCTCAGGAGGCAGAAATACCTGCTTAAAGTGTCAGGAACGAGGAGAGAGACGAGAACCCACAAACCTACGAAAGAGGGAAGAAGTTGAATTACTAACATGCCATGATGGGATAAAAATGCATACAGATAGAGAGGGACAGGAGCTCATTGTCTCATGGGAAGACTCCCAGCAGTCTAGGCCTATAGCAGCATAACTAAGGGATGCCTCAGGGCTCACATGAACCAGCACTAACTATAAGCTTTTTGAAAGAGGCAAGTCTTAAGCCTGCTCTGAAATGTGGAGATGATGTCTGCATCCCAAACCCAAACTGGGTTCTTGTAGCATAATAAGGTAAAATGAGCTCTTTAAGATAAGATGGTGCCTAACCATTAAGAGCTTTGTAGATGAGCATAAGGATTTTAAATTCTCTTCTGGATTTTACAGGGTCCCAGGCAAGAGAAGCTAATACAGGAGAGATGTGATCTCTTTTCCTGGTTCTTGTCAGTACACGTGCTGCAGCATTCTGGAGAGTCTTATGGGACTTATTTGGGCAGTGTGATTACACGGAATTGCAGTAATCCAGCCCAGAAGTAACAAATACGTGGAATATTTCATCCGTAAACCTTCCGTTTTATGTGGAAGTTGAAGGACATATCCTCACGGTGGTGCTGCAGGCCAGGGCAATGCCATCTCGAGTAACTCTGGTGTAGCTCTAGCTGCTCTGAGGTGTTTGGGGGCAGGTTCAATAACTTTAGTTTTGTCTGAGTTTAACATCAGAAAATTGCAGGTCATCCAGGTTTTTGTCTTTTGAATTTTATCTAACTGGTTTTATCTGGCTTGATTAATAGATATAATTGGGAATCATCTGCATAACAATGGAAGTTTATGGGGTGTTTCCTAATAATATTGGCTAAAGGAAGCATAATGTAAACAGGATTGGTCCAAGCACAGATCCTTGTGGAGCACCATGACTAACTTTGCCGTGCATGGATGATTCATCTTTAACATGTACAAACTGAGATTGATCTGATGAAATATAACGTTAATCAGCGTAGTGCAGTTCCTTTACTGCCAATTAAAAATTTGAGTCTCTGTAATAGGATGTGATGTCAAAGGTGTCGAATGCAGCACTAAGATCTTACAAGACAAGTACCGAGACAAGTTCTTTGTTATGGAAAATTTTATTGGACTTTAATATTTGTAACCCACAGAAAACAATCCACAAATGTGTACTATGATGCGCAAATATTTCATTATCTACAAATATGTATTTTTACATTTGTGATGTGTAAAATCATATCCACAAAAATACAGAGTGACTTCTACTCACAAAACAGTTTTTGCACATTTGCAGATTGCTTTCTGTCAATTTGTGACTCATGTTACATTTGTAACTTCATTTTTACACATTTGTGGAATTTTGTCCAATGTGTACTGCGGAGATCTGTAAAAAAAATATACACAAATATCTCACTACCCAAAACATGTATTTTTACATTTGTGTTGTGTAAAATCATATCAAATTAAAATATTAAAATATGTGTGTACAGAGTAAATTGTACATATTTACAAGTTGCACTGTATTTTTGTGGATATGATTTTACACAGCACATGGTTAAACGCAGTCTTTTTCATCCTATTCTTGTACTCTGTTTCCTTTGTTGCAAAGTAATACAGTTAACCTGCACTTTTTTCTTTATTTACTTGTTCTCCATACAGCTTTGACTGCAGTAGGGAAGTGTTCCAGTACTTTCACTATTTGATTTCTTGGACCTTTCAATCAGTCTATTTCTGTTCAACTTACATACAGTATAATACAGTATGTAATTGAATGCGTAACTATAACAGTGTTTGTATTTGTGTGCACATTACGGCATTAAATACTGGATAAGAAGACCTGCTCTGATCAGCACACTCTGTGACAAACCCCTTGTGTTTAATTACATTTGCTAAGTATCATCCTGTTTCCGTTTCTGCCTCCACTCTGGGCCTCACTGAGCTGCCAGCTGACGACGTCCAGTCCTGTTAGTAAATGAATATTGTTAGGAGCTGAACTGTCGCTGCGCTGCCGCCCAATGCCCAGCTCCCACACTCTAACTGCAGCACTAATAGAGGCAGCCTTTATGCCACATAAACAGCTTAGAGCTGTGGCTCTCATTAGGCTGCCAGTGAATCATGGTATCATAAAGCCGGCTTTCCTCCGCTGCTGCTGTGAGGCAGAGAAGAACAAAATCTCTGGCCTTTTCACACCAGGAGGAAATGTCATCTGATTTTCTAAAATGAAATGCTCGTCCCACTTCCTGTAACATTTTCATGAATACATTGGGCTGAAATCAGGTAGCATTCTTCTTTGTTGACACTGATTATTGAACTTTCTACAGAACCTTTGAGTCAGATGATAATTGAACTCCTGTGGCCGGTCAGGTGGGAATACAGAAAGATGGAGTGGTGGCTGAGTGGAGCAGTTAAGGCAGAGGGAGGAAGTGAAGTGACTTTGATTGCTTTGTCTGTCACTGGAGTCTGGGAAACATGCATCTAGGATTATACAGGTCATGCTGAGCTGACAGACATTTAACAGTATCAACATTGTCCCTGTCAGTTTCAAAGACATTTAGTGACTAGCACCTTGGCCTGGAGTTCATCTTCATTCTTCTCCTGACGCACCCATACACTTCAGATTTTTCTTAAGCAATGTCCTGTATTTTGGTATCGACTTAACCAAGCTGAAATTTTGTATGTCATTTTTTCCACAGCTACAAAAGACTAGAACCAGCACATTTTGACATTCATGGACATCTTTACGCCATTGAGGATTGGGTCATTAAACTGCACTATGATGTTTTATTTATTCCTAGGCTGCCCTTTTACATGCGAAAGAATCTTTATTATTGTACATATCACTTCTTCAGTTTGTTCACTGTATCAGTGGCCTATTTGTTTACATATGCTGTTCTGGTGAAGACAGATGTGCATGTTTATGGTGCATGGTATTTAAGGGTTGTGAACATAGTTGGATTTTTATTTATTGATTTAGGACTTGTGTGTCTGTGTAGGTGCTGCAGTTTTCTCGTACAAAGACATGTTAGGTGAACAGCCTGAACTGGCTAGGGGTTTAGAGACTGGATTGATGGATTTATTGATTTATTTGGATTCCCATTAGCTAGACTCAGCTATTCTTTCACGGTCCCTTGACGCATACTAACGTCTGAATTAGGTGGATAAAACATTAGCAACAATATAATACACCCAAGTAAAACCCAAGATTTATTAGAGCCTACCAACTGAACATAGAGTTTAACATTTCTGACACAGTGTTAACCAAAACCCAACAAGTATCAAAAAGCTAAGCTAACTGCTAAGCTG